CATTTTACATCGTAAAATTACTCCTTTATAACTTAATTCAAACAGTTGTATTCGACAAATGTAATATTCAATTCCTACCATATACTTTGCCGTTACAATTTCTCACGTATTTCTACTTTCCTAAATATTAAAACGGATCAGTCAATAAAAAATACATTTCGGTAGTTTGGTCCACTTGGTCCCCCCTCCCCCTTCACATAAAATCCTGGTTACGAGCCTGACAAGTTTACAACTGCATCAATATTTTGTACAATAGAAGCCAAGCGATTTTTTGCCCTTGAATTTAATATTTGTTCACTTTGTCTAGGACTTCCTGAAGTGAAAGACTTGTTCAAGGAAAAGATAAGATAATTTAAAGTTTCAAACACTGTGAACAAAGGTCTGATTAGCCTTTGATGTCATAGCGCTAATGAAATGGCTTTTTTACGTCAGTCTACTGTCTACGCCGCCCCATACCGCCCAGAGAGTCTTAATAAGGTGTTATAATCAAATAACAAAGGTATTACTGACTGGATTATTGCTTGCCTCTTGAGAACATCAACAAAATCAATTAAACACATTAGCGTGGAGTTGCTTGGTAATTTAGCGAAAGATTTGCGTTTTAAGGACAATTAAGACTAATGGCAGAGCTTAAAAACCTATTTGCAATATTGTTCGGGCGAGGCTGTCATTAAGGTAGAAGTTTGTTTGTCTGAATTTTACGAATCTCGAAAAATTTATATTGTTCAGTTCTGAAAGCGTATAAGATACGCAGGAAGTAGCGTATCAACTGGTTTTGCATAAACACACTTAAAAATGATCTCAATTGACGCACTTAGTATTTAAGTATCGGACATGTTTATAAGATGGTATTAGAACAAAAGTTTGTGTTCGCACAAACAAACTTGAAGCTACAGAACAACAAGATTAAGTTACGCTCTTAAGAATTCTTCACTTCAAGCCGGATAAATTTAAGAATTCATCCTCTAAAATTCATTGTTAAAAACGATCCTATATAACAGAAAAAAGATCGCTTGATTACGTACTCCCAGAACAAAATAAAACATTTACGGCAAATTCGGAACGAGGTGTCGACCGGCAAATTCTAAAAGCTCTAGCTTTTAAATACCACCTCGCACTTCTGAAACATCCTTTGGCTATGATTATTTGCTGAAGTAACTTGGTGTCATCGTTATTTTGAACAGCCGATGTTTGCGCTAAAACACGCTCCATGAAGATTTAAAAGGACAAAGGGTTTAAAAGCTCACACAAAGAAGGATTGCCATCCTTCATTTCAGTTTTCGACATTTTCTTTACAAACAGCACAAAACTAAGCAACGAATAAGGCGGAAGAACACCAGCCTTCATTCTCGACAAACAGTTTAAGTTCACCATCTGGCAAATTGTCTAAAGCTGAAGATTGGAAACGATTAAGGAAAAAACATATGTCAAAAACTTTTTCAAGGCCTTTTATTGGTTTCCGCTCTTTTCTAAATTCAAATTCTACAATTCACTCCATGGTTTACTTAGGTTGTTTACAAGGTTGCACAATCGAAAGGCAAAACTCGTTTTCGAAAACCCATCTATATGTAAGAGAGAACCTCAGTTCCCTCAAATTTGCACGCGATGTTGAAATCCATACATTGGCTTTGAGGAGAAAATAAATACTTACGTAACTGATAATAAAAATTCTAGCTTTGTACACTACAATTGAATAGTTTATATTTTTACATGTATTTGTGGAAACAAATTTTCGCAATATTCTGCATATAATTGACATAAAATAAAACATTTAAAATGAGCCTGTTTCTGTACTGCTTTATAGAGCTGGACTTTTCCGAACGAAAATAATTTAAATGTTAGTTCGTTCAAAGGGAAGGAAGCGCTTTAAAAGATTTTCCTGTATTTCTTCTTGCTCTTCGCTTGAAAGCAAACAATATCCAGATACCGTCTCCTTTCAATTCTGCCTCGTAATGTTCCTGAGTCCTCTTCGTTTAACTTGAAAACGGTCAGCGCATTTTTCGCTAGGAGCAACATATAAGATGAGCACATCGCTTTTAGTTCAAAGATTCGTTCGAATAAACACAGCAAAAAAGTAACAACACAACCCCGTTGAAATGATAATAATTTGACGATAAATTCTTCTGTTTTACGCCTTCTTTGTTGCTGCCATGCTTTTCCTCCGTTCTTCTGGAGAATACTTGACGAGCATTTCAATCAAGTCAAAGTCATCCGTTAAATCGACGGGAAACGCACCGTCGGCGTTGCTTATATCAGGGTTCGCGCCGCTGCGAAGTAAAAACTTTGTAACAGCGACGTTACCGGCCTGTACGCTGTGATGTAGCGAGGTACACCCATCCTCATCTTGCATGTTCACGTCTGCACCCAGTGTTACAAGCATTCGGACGCATTTTAAGTTCCCGTCCTTAACAAGCTGATGGAAAGCAGGGTTACTTTGACCCTCTTCTGCGTTCACTAGCATCTTTGTGTCGACGCTGGGCCGTTTCAAAAACTGGCACATTTCCGACGGATCGCCATCTTTAACCATGTCGTGAAACACCAAGTCGTGTGGGAACTTCACTGTTCGGTCCATGACGTCCTTGATACCCGCTTGACTTGGCATGGAAAAGTACAAATCGATCCTTTTCCGTTCTATTTCCTAATCGACAAGTCTTCTCTGTGCGCAATTCCAAGCTCTATGTCCTTAATGCCGAGGTGAGAAAAGGTTGTTTATAATATCCTACAAGTTTGCATTTGAACGGAAGACAGAGAGACTCTTTTATTGTATTTTTTCCAAACAGTCTACTTTATCTTATAGCTCATTGGCTACTCTGGGGGTCCTATTTACATTGGTTCATTACACGCGACTGACACATGTCCTCCCTACGTCATAAAGAGCGCGAACTATGACGTCATACTCTTACAAGTGTTAATGAAAATTGTAAATTTTTATAAGAGAAACATAGTAAAATCAACTAAATATAGCAAATTTTGGTTATGGGGGAAGAAAAACTCTTGAGTTAACACTTCAGAGGCTATTTCGGAGCAGGTTAAGTACACCACAGAGAAAATTAATTTAGCACACGATGTCCTCACGTGTCCTGTGTAACTCCTGGTGTATCTTGGGCCTGACATTTCACTTTTTCTTCTTTAATATCCATGAAATTAAACAGGAGCTGCAAAGCTTGAGAGAATCCAATATTTTACAACGTGACTTAATTTATAAGTACGTAAATACGATTTTCCAAAGTGGCTGAGGGATTATACAGATTGAAAAAACAATAAAGACTTTGCGACCGAAATCAAAAGGCAGATAAAAAGCTTAACCTTGTCAAGTTAACGGGTCGTGCATGTGTGTACATTCTAGACAACTTTGAAATAACTTCTTTGAAAGTTTCAAAGTTAATATACATTATTGGGCTATGTGTGGCCAGTAAACGGAAATAAAAGAATGCAATTCCTTCTGTTTGTCTAAAGAAGATGTATGATGAATTTTTCTCTAACTTTCATCTCGATCTTTTATCAAGAATGAAAACATTTTTCTAAAGTAAAAAAATTTGGTGGGAAATTAAGAAAGAAATAACAATATGCCAACAGTAACACAGGAACGTACTGCTCAGTAGCTTTCATTTTAATGGTGACACCACTGAATTTCATCCACAGACTCAAAAGTTGGAACCACCTTGTACAACATAATAAACATTACCTCAGGAAAGCAAACCTCCGTAGCTTTCACTTGAATGCATGCCCCAGGATTTCATCGACAGACCAAAAAGTTAAACCACTTTAAAGCATATTGCACAGTACCACAGCAAGGTACTGTTCAGTTGGCTCTCATTTCAATTGTCACTCGCAAACGTACAGAAGTGTAGCATAATTATTAAACAGTCTCAAAGTAACATATATCCAAGTCAGACGCCATAATTTCAACGGTCACAGCTAACGATTTTATTAAGACGAAAGAGCGAAGTTGCATGCCATGCACATCTTAGATAATATTTAGGGAACTTGAAAGAACTCTAACAGATAAATAGGTTGCAATACGTGTGTTAGAACACGCTTATACGTTAAGTTATTTCAGCATTTGTATAAACATGAATCTTGAACACGCGCCTAAGAAATTTCTAGAATGTGCTGGAACAAAGGAAAGGACACATACGTATACGTATATGACGGACCAGACAAAGAGTACAGTATTTAAAGACAGGAAGTAACTTGGGTTAGACAGCTGTAAGGAAGCAATTTGATTGGTTTAGGGAACAGTGTAGACAGAAAGGAAGCAAGGGTAAGGGGGAGGGGGGGGAGGCAGTCTCCGAAAAAAATTTTTCGGCCTTCGGGGATCAGTTTGGTCTAAAAATAAGGGGGGCGGTCCCCCCCGGGCCCCTCCCCTATAACCGCCACTGAATTACTTAAGCAGGCTGCAAAGCACCAGAAGTTCTCACCCTTTAAGCCCTAAGAGTGACCAGTATCAAATTTCTCCTTGTAATATCAATGCTTTGTAAAACAGAGTGTTCATGAGAATTACGGACATGATCATACAAGATGAATTTGCTTGATATTTTATCAACTTCTCCCCACTACCTCTGGAGGAAGTGAATAGGGGCAACAAATGAGAATTCAAATTTTGATCTTCGGGTTTAAAGGGTTAAAAAACACGATGACATAGCTCGAGATCATTGTCAGCATTTTAACACTACAGAATAGTATATAAAAGACAAAAAGGTTTAATTCTAAATAGGTGTATATATAATTGAATGAGACTGAAGTTTGAGAGAGGACAACTTACAAGATGATGAGGACAAAAATTAAGACAGAGATCAACAGGCAATGTAAACAGCGTGCAAAGAACTAGCCCGGGGCTGAGTGGATTTTTTCGGGAATTCTGTTTTTAATGCCCGACGGGCAAGGGATTTTCAAAATTTGAATAACAGAAGAACTGTAATCAATCCTGCTCATCAAATTTTTTTTCAACCAGTTGAAAACATTCGCAGCTAATGCCCGAATGGTCTTAAAACAACCCTGGTAAAGAAGAACTGGCTGAGTGGGTTTGGGCATCGATAACGGCGATCAAAAGAATACCGCGAATTCCGTTCCAACTTTGTTCACCAGTGAACATTCGCAGCTAATGGAAGTCTTAATAACCACGGCTTGATCCATTGTAATATCGTCATAAAATGACCATTCTAGTTGTCCGAATGCAATGTATTCGAGTGGACTGAATAGTGTTTTTCGAATAGAAAACTGTCCTTTATCAAAAAATAGAGTAAATTGCGGAGACACACATGATAAATGCTTAGGCCTGTGTATTGACCGGGACGCTTTTTATCAGAACAGTGGTCTTCGATGGTAGCCTGATAACAACTTGGACCAATCCGAACAGGACTCGGTGACTGGGCGAAAGTGTGGACCTTGCAGTGCGTCTTACATGAAACCAAACATTGACATAAAGGAATTCGCATAAGCCATGGGTTTCACATCCGGATGAGGCTGTGTAGCAGATAAAATATATTAAAATTCTTTTTTTTTGTGAAGCTTCGCCGCGTGTCGCCTTTTCTCGCGTGGGGTGATTTTCACGCGCGCTCGCGTTTCCTTCGCTCTACTATCCCTGAGGAAAAATGGGGGACTACTCGTAGTCTAGACTTGGTAAGGACGCAAATTATAGAGAGCCTAAGCAACACACAACATTGTTCCCGGCCCGTGTAAGTACAGTAAAGTGCTGGTCTGCCAAGCGGAGAGTGATTCATGACACAATCAAAAGCGCTTTATCGCGATAGTTTTAGTAATTACTATGCAACTTCCACTGAAGGAAACCTCAAAATATTTGTAGTCTGGTAAAACAGAAAATACCGAAGAGGAGACGCAAAGGCTAACGCAGTTTCTTGAACTATTTTCATTTAAATGAAGAAGTAACCCCGAGATTTAAAAAAGGAGAATGTACTTACCACAGCATCGTAGGTTGTGAAGTTGGGTTTGGCATCTGGTCCCATGGTAATAAACGCTCCCTTGTTTCCCATTTGATCGCTACGAAAAATAAATACCACATTCGTTGATACGTCTAAAAACCTTAGCTCATAGGCTCTAACAATGATAAGCGTCTAATTTCTCCTTATAATATTCATGTGTAATTACACATTCAGGTGATGAGAATAAAGAAAATGATCACTGAAGCACAGGGGAATATTAACTACCATCCAAGTTTAACCTGAGATCAGGCCCAATTTTAGCGGTTCTCATACATTCTCTCTAACGGCTACCGCTAAAATTGTTGCCCTCCGGAATGTTATTACAAAGCGAAACGAAAATTGAGCCTGATCTCAGGTTATCCAAGTTGGCATAGCTCCACCTGACATAGCTCAGTATTTCAAGGCGCGAAAAACGTCTGAAACGTAATAGTTCTGCACTTAAATAAAAGAAAGAAAATAAACGGCTACGTTCAGATGGAGTTTCTCTTTACATTTAGCAGCGCTCCCCACGATCTCACCTCCTGGAATAGGATAACCTAAACCCATTTCATGGCGAATCCACAAATAAGTTTTTAAAATTTTTGAACACATTTAACCCTAGAGTCCTATTTCCCGCGTAAATGTAAGCTCAGCTCCTTTAAATATGTGATCTATATGTGAAAGAGGTATCGGCTGTAACATTGCAAACCTCTTTTCCTGGGCCCAAGAGGAAAACGGACGTCACAAAACATCGGACTCATCGATAAAATATCGACTGCAACTTCCGCGTTCGGTGGACTTTTCGAATTCCGGACTTACTGTCTTATTAGGGAGCTTAAGCAAAGACGTTTTTGAGCGACGCACGTCAACAGGAAGTGAGGCCTTCTTCTCTTTTATATGCCTTGACTCTAACAAATTTGTATTGCTAAGTTTCTTTTCTCTTATAAAAACGATTTGCCCAAGAGTTTGAACCAATCCACTGCCCAATGATGCAAAAAGTCCACTTCCGGTTGACGTCGGTCGCTCAAAAACGCTGTTGCTTAAGCTCTCTATTTCCTTTTACAAGCTCTGGCCCACCCTTTGATAACACGCTAATTTTTGCTAAAATGTAGCCTGCGAAAACATGCGTTTCTCCTCGCTCTTCGCCGCTGGGGAAGAGCGAGGAGAAACGGATGTTTTCGCAGGCTAGCTAAAATATGCTTCGACGTGAGGCAAAAACTGACCAGTAATTCGGCGCCGAAAAGACAGTGATACACTTCCCATCATGCATCACTTCATATCCCTCGGGTTTAACTTCATGACTCCTGATAATATAATCTGAAAATAAAGATAATAATTCAAAATACAATTACAATTACAGTGGTGGCAGTGCCTTTTGCTTGAACATCTAAGGTTACACTTCCTCAAGCATTTAGAGGAAAATGTAGGTCTAACTTTGAGCGTGTGAGTGAATTCTTGAGTATGACCATTCCAAATAAGAATTATTGCATCACTAGCCGGCCAGCAGGCTTACTTGGGCGAGTTCGGAAAAAATTTTGACGCGCGAGGAAAAGTGAAAAGTCACTTTTCCTCGCATCATTCTTCGCGCCCGCCAGCATTGCCGACTCGCGCCGTTAAATTTTCCCACGAACTCACTCAAGTGAGCTTGCTCATTATTACATCGCTAAAACAAAGTTCAAAGAAAGCAGGTTGTTTAAAAAGAACTAGAACTCGCGTTTTATTAGCGTCCCCGTCACCAATAAAGTCTCTGAAGTCCTCCGTAAGTTGTACTGAATTTTCAACGATAACTGTGACCCAAATAAGATTTATCGAAGGCGTTTGTTGCCGATACTGCGCTGTATGTAGCCTGCAAATGATAAAAACACAACTACAGAAAAAGAACAGATGAAAAAAAAACTCACCGAGGTTGTTATTTTTGCAAAATTCTTCAGTAACATCAGGGCCAAATTGTACACCGACGCCACGCTTGCTTGGCGAACGACCGGGCTACAAGAAAAACAGATAAAGCTGTTTTCAAGGTAGCTGGGGTTTTTCCGACACAATACGCACGCTCATTGGCTTATTCAAGGTCACATGACATCTAAGTGACAATTTTTTTCCCGCCAATAATCAGATGCCTGACGCCAGAGGTTCAAAGTGCAATGTTACCTACAAAAGCGGAAATGCTGATCATCTTTGCACGTGAACAACGCGTGAAGCAAAAGAGAACCTACCAAAAAAGCATCGATTAAGTCGCATTGACAGAAGAAAAGCTTGTCGAGGAAAGGGCCTCTACTATAATACCCCACTTCCGAGCTTACAAAACCCTCAGTTTTAAGGGGTAGATGAGTTTCATTTTTACTAAGAACTAAAAATGACTTTTACATAAAAGACTTTGCACTTTCCCTCGTAAGGAGACTTGGGACAACTCGGAAATGGCCATATACACACGCGTAGCCGGTGACTAGAGCGAGAAAATGAGTGGTAGCCGGCGATAAGCGCGGGAAAATGTTTTCTACCTCCTGATTCGTTAGAAAAATAACGCAGTGCGCAAAGCAACGCACAAGCAAAAATTACAAGCAGGCGAATAAGGAAGTGACTAAAACATTTACAGTGCAACTACTCGAATAGGGGCACTTTGGAAGAAGTTTATCTAATCACAACGGTATTTTGAAAACAACAGATTCTCAATTTTTTTTTGCAGACGGACCAATAACATTCACGAATTTGAGGGCTCTTTCCTAAGAGGTCAGGTAACTTCAAACGGTTTGAACCTTGTCCAAACCTTGTTCAAGTTCAACCTTGAATGTTATTGGTCCTCTGTTTGCTAAAAAACCTTTTTACAAGATCGAGCCCAGTTCTTTACAGTGAATACTGTATTCAAGATGGCAACCTCGACGCATGTCCTGTTGTCCATATTCCCAGAGGAGTCCTGGTACTAGAGTGAATCCGGATTGATACGTGTTGGATACATGTGGCAGGGCAAATTCGATTTGAATACGGATACGTGTCGACGAGGAAATTTTTAACTTTTGGACAAAGCTTACGATCTTTCTGAAAGTTTCACGTTGTAGTCGTGCAAAACAGAGGCAAATAAATGTACAAAAAAGTGTGCTGCACGTGCAAAGTTGTTTTTTGCTAATTAGACCTTGACGTTACATGAGACGATTCGCAACGACTATTTTTAGCCCAACACAGCGTTGCAACATTGTTGCGACATTGTTTCAAATGGTTGCAACACTGTTCTAACATTGCAACGCTGTGTTGCGCTAAAAATCGTCGTGGCGAATCGTCCCGTGTAACATAACCTTTAGCATTACACGATTTTATATTTCGTTTGAGTAAACTATTAATACTAACAAGAGCTTTACTTTTAGCCCTGGCTAAATCGCGAAATCTATATATGAGCACAAACACTGTACCTGCGGCTGAGGATCTGACCATAATAATTCACACATCAATCCTGCAAAAAATGTGAAAAACGAATGACAACTTCAGAAGTTAGATCCTAAAAGGTGATACACTTGTGCTTCGCTACATAAGAGCTTTAACGGCAACCTCCACTATTAAAAGTATTAAATCCGAGTCTAGGCTACAATGACTCTACAATTCTTGTTCCACAAAGTGCAAGGACTTTTAGCATAGAAACTTTGCTTAATAAATTTGAAGTATAAGCCTATGTTTGTAAACGGTGGGATTCACGTTCCCAAACAACTTGAGCAAACAACCCCAACAAATGACTAAAAAATATTGAATGTATTTTTTAATGTGGATATACCTTCCTCTCCAGGCTGTCTATTTCTGTCAATTGTTCTTAACTCGTCCAGCTTAACATCATCCCTTTTAAACAACCCGCCGTGCATAACCTACAGTAAAGAGGAAACATTTCTATAAATTTATAGCTCACAAACGACTGTGGGGGAGGGTGATCAATGTTTTTGTTTGTTTGTTTTTGGTGTGTGGGGTGCTGCGGGGAGATTAGCTGCAAAGAGCAACCCACCTCTATTTTATCCCACGTAAAAACGTTTAACGTTAACAACTGACGCCATACACCTGAGTAAGGTCACTTAACCATTTCACTTCCAGAGTGTTTGATGGAGTTTTGTAAGGTGACTCTAACTTTTGAGTCTGTGGACGAAATCCTATGATGTGACCAATCAAATGAAAGCTACTGAGCAGTACTTTCCTGTGGTACTGTTTATTATGCTGTACAAGGTGATTCTAACTTTTGAGTCTGTGGACGAAATCCTATGATGTGACCATTCAAATGAAAGCTCTCTGCCTGTACTTTCACATGATGCTATTTGTTTCACACAATTTTGGAAAATGAAATTTTGAAATTTGGTCGAAACTTGCCTTTGACCACATTTGACAGTGAAAGGGTTAACTACTCTCTGCTTTCTACAACAAAGTTTCACAATCTGCAACAACATGATTTGTTGCACAGAAGGTTCAAACATGGGTGGTAAAAGGCGCAACATTGCTATTCAGCTTGTTTTGCAGCGATGTTGCAAAACTAGTTACACGTTGTTGTTGTTGCCCGCGTTATTGTACCTTCAGTTGGGCTGTACTTGCATGTTTTTGCCTTACTTGTGAGCTTCACAATATATAGTCACTGGGATATAAAAAACAGTACATACCAGAGCTTTTTGATTTATAAGATGACAAAGAGGTAACCAGTTGTAAACCTCAGTAAAAAGATCTGACATATCTGCTGTATATGTGACGCAAAGTTAAGAACTGACATAAACTAAAGCTTTTATTTCTCTTTGGTCAGAAAAAAGGTTGTCAGACAGTGAACAATAAATTACAATGCAACTATTGTAAGCAGGGCCACTTAGACTTATTCAAATGAAGTATGCTTATTATGCAAGTAATCCAATAAAATGTTCTATCTCTAGCTTAATAGACCTTTCCCGCATTTCGCTCCAGTGAGGACGAGGTTGAGGTGGACGATTTCATACAAATCACTGTATTTTGTCCAAACAAGCCACGAGTTGGTGCCTTTGTTTACAGGAATGTGGGAAAGGTCTATAAACTACCAAAAAATGCAGTGCGACTACTATAACGGCAATTTTCGGGAAAATATCTGTTCGGAAGACCATCCAGACAAAATGGTTGACCAATCGGTTCACTAGACTTTCAGGATCGAACAGGAAAAGTTTTAATAAAAATACATCCCGTTTGAATACTAAAATACGTTCAACAATGCTATGTTAAGTGGTTTTGAACTTGTTTGTTGGACCTAAATTGCATAGAATCAAAAATCAGGAAAATAACAATGGACTAAAAAGAATCAAATCACATGTAAAAAATGTAGAAAATGTTATAAAAAGGATATTTGGACTTCACTTCCCCTTCAAAGCCATACATTTGATTCATGTAAATACTCTCATGATTCCCTGTTAATAGTAAAATAATAAAATCAGATCAATAACCAGAGTATAATACCATCAACTGACATGATACAACTCACTTTGACTCTGAAGATGACTACCGCACAGGTTGTCGAAACGTCAGTCACTGTCTGTGTCAACAACAACAGTCCTATTCAGGACTACGTTCACCCGGACGATCAAACTCAACCTACTTTTGAAATGACTCCTGGGTTCAAACCTTTCACAGTTATATGAAAATAGTAAATGAACATCAACAAAGTGGTTCTTTGCCTGCCCTTCCAAATCAAATTCAGGAGAGAGGAAAACCAGACTTCCTGGAGAAAAACAGCCTGCAAGGGTGCTCTGGCGGCGGGGTGGGAAAAGGAAGGAGAGCTTGTCTTAACTTTTATTCATTTACATTGAAACCACAATTCACTCACCTCGTGACATGAAAAAGTGATCAGGATACAAAAGCTTATAACTAAAAAGTGTAAAAATGACTTCACATGAAAATGACCCTCTGTCTACAAAATCACCATTAAATAACTGAAATGCTGTTAAGGAACATGAGTAATATTACAAAGTACCTACAGTAACAACTGTCAAAATGCATGCCAAAGAGAAATACCAGGTGGGCTTTCATGCGAAAACATGATATCTTCACATATGAAAATAACATGTTATCTTCACATGAAATATCATTGTTGCTATGGCTACATAATAAATCGCACCTTTCACAGCAAAAAACTATTAGAGTGAGATGGTTTGGTATTTCATTGGTGTGTATGTAATAAAGAAAACTTTACATGGCTGCTTGGAGATACCTAGCCAGGCAAACAATGTTTGGAGCTGTATGTAACTAATAAAATAGTAGAAGGTAATGCAATCCATAACAATATTTTCCAGTTACGATTCTTCAAAGGATACATATGGATTTTCAGGAGAAGGATGTCCATTTAGACTGAAAATGTTTAACAAGTCGTAGAACTGCCCATGTATGTCACCACACACAGTAAAGTTACCATTCTGGAAAGAAAAAATGAGATTAAAAACTGGAAGGAAGAGATTGGCTCATGCACACCTTGTCTGCAGCCTTGTTAGCTGAATTCAAGCAGAAAAAGAAAAGGTACTAACATTTAACTTCCATGCTTATCTAGCCTGTGTTGCAGACGTAATTCAACCCTAGTTAGTAAAGTCTGCAAAGTAGCGCCGATATCCATGTTCTGAGCCCCCAATGGACTCAAAGAATTACCACAAATGCGAATTTCCCTTCAACCCTATTGGCAAATAGATTATGGCATTATTAAGAGGTCAATCATGGCATGTACTCAAATCCTTTTACACAAGCTGGGTGTCCAGTACAAGGATTTTGGTGCTGTTTCGTAGACAGACTTAACCAGAAGTTAATTTCTGTCTGTGGCGTAGGCTAGGTCCATCCAGATAAGAGGTGCAAAGAATGAGGTATCAACAAAAACTGGATTGAATCAACTCCCATGACTCACTTATATGCTAACAGGTGTTGATCACATCCAGGTTTTGGATGGCCTTGACCACAAAAACACAGCTTACCTCAGGTACTGTGATTTCAACCATTGATGGCTGTTTCTCAAATGTCTTTTTTACTTCAATTAAAATCTGAAAAGACAACAGGAGGAAAGATGTTGGAAAAACACCAGTTGTTATAATTTCAAAAGGGTATTTGTCGCTTTAAGGGCCTGTACTGTCATAAAAAATGATGTTGGTATCATTGTTTTTTACAGCACTGCTATTCTTGGACTTGTACTGTCAAAAAAAATAATATATGTATTCTTGTGTTACATATTTTTTTTACGTTGAATTTAAAGCACGATCTTACAAAGTTTGTTATTCTTAGACTTGCCTGGTGCAGAGAAATTTCAAGTTGCCATATAGATGCATTATTTTTTAGGAAAGAGAATTACAAACTGCTAGTAAGTTCTCTTGGTTTTATTTTCCATTTGTTTCCCAAGAAAGCAGCCGGGGGTCAGTCTCAAAACAGCCGGAGGAAATCCCCTGTGTCAAGCCCTAAATGACAGCCCTGCTGATACAGAGTAAAGTAGATAAGAATGCAATGGAAAATTAATTAAAACAGTTTACCTTGTATGCATATTTCTTGTGTATCTTTTTTTGTTCTTTAAATCTCTCAATTAATTCTTCCACAAATTCTTTTGTTATTCCGTCTTCACTCAATCGTGGGCCATCATAGTCATCTTCCACAACTTGCAAAGTCAAAATTATAACATGATAATTTTGTTATAATTTACATAACCATTAATTTTCACATAACAAAACTGACATGAATATTACTAATAAATTATTGCATCAACACCCTGATTGGTCAAAAACATGAAAATTGCTTATTTTTACTGAATTTGAAAAAGTCAAAAAAATTTACTCTCCATTCATGATGGCTCATTATTTACAACCTTTCTCACATTCTTCCAGCAGCTAAGGACACCTTCAAAAACAACCTGAAAACTTTTTAATAGTCAAAATAACATTAACTGTTTCATTCCTACACCGCCTCTTACTTTTAACAGGGTCTAAGTTTTTGTAATTTTAGTAGTGTTTATGTGCCGTCGATTGCGTAATAAACTACTGACTAATAACAACTTGAAATGCTTATCAAAGGCTTGTGTAGTAGTAGTGTTTAAGACCAAACTTGTATGCTCCGCATCTGTCTGTATGACTTTTCTTGAGCATTATACAGTCATCAGAGAGCACATCAATCTCGGGAGTTAAGTGATGGACACAACAGGAAAACTATGTGCCAAGTATCAAACTCCCCAAACAATGTCATACACTGCGTTGTGTGATAAAAAAGTTTCTATTAATACAGTCAACTCTGTCTAAGACGGACACCTTTGGGACCGGCACTAAGTGTCCGTCTTAGAGAGGTGTCTGTCTTATAGAGAGTCAAATAAAGGGAGTAGAGAAAGGCAGGGACCAACTCTAAGTGTCCGTTTTACAGATGTGTCTGTCTTATATAGGTGTCCGTTAAGAGAGAGTCGACTGTACAATGAAAGTATTGTATGCGACAGGCATGTGATTGACATTCTGAAATAACTCATTGGTTTTGTAATTGGGTGATCACTTGAATAAAGTGTGATCAAACATACATTAAATATTGCCTGTGTCGTAGAACACTTTTAAAACTCACTGTACATAAAGCATAATAAAGAAAACAAGACTAAGACAGATGCTTTGATTTAATGCAAAGGAGAGAAATCAACATACCCATTGAATTGAGATCAACAGAGTCAGCCACTGCTTTCTTGTCCTCTACAGCTATGGCTTTGCGAAATGCCTCTTGATGAACGATCTTCTTGCATTCTGTGTATTTGCACTCGGCATCTTTGTCTTTTGGTCTATATTTTCTCACCTGAAGATTAATGGATAACATCATAAATCATAATTTATTTATTTATTTATTTATAACAACTTTATTTGTAATAATCAATACAAAAAGGCTGCCATCAGGGAGGAACTGAATCTTTATGTAAGATGACCCCCTAAAAATATCTACAAAGCTATTAAGGAAATATAAGTCAGATAAAGACTATTATAATGTAAGAAGAAATGTAAAAGATATCACTAAAATATATCTATTAATAATGGAGTTATTAAAATTATCTAATTATCAAATTAGATATGCAATCGCAACAATTTTATGTTCATTACGTACTAGTTAAAAAGTGTTCTCTTAAGTTATTTCACAATGGAAGATACAAAATGGAGCATACCAGTAAAACCAGTTAGCAATTTTTGTGTTACCAATAATGACAATTTTCAAAACTTTAATTCTTATTGTCGTTCCTAATAATTTCCTTTAAAAGTAATGCTGAGAATTTGGTTACCAATTGAATGCATCTTTTTTGACCATGTCATTAATTCTCATGACCAACCTGTTTTAAAAAGAATTGATATGTTATTGGTACCTAATTTTGTGGGTACTTTATTTCTCGATTTTAACGAGACAGTATTTTGCCCAGTTTTATTTTCACGATAGAAAAAAGGGCATTAAATTTTGCAGTTCAAGTGTTGTCAACTTCTTTTTTAAAAAAGTCTACACCGTGAAAAATTTTTGGATAAACTGGAACAATCAATGTGAGAAATCTTTGCAAACTAACGTTATTTCACAATGGAAGATACAAAATGGAACATGCCAGTAAAATTAGTTAGCAATTTTTGTGTTACCAATACATATCGTTGCTATTACATATTAATTGTTATTTGAATTTCCTATATGGGTATTAAATTTCGCGTGCTTTAATAATTTTGCGAGGATTTATTTTTGCAGGTCTTTAATTTCGTGATTTTTTTACAATCATGAAAAACACGAAATTAAAGATTTGCGAAATTAAGTACAAATAACGAAGGTATTATTTCAAGGAAAAAGTTCATGCTGATACTGTGAGGCCCCAAAGAGTTAAGAACTAAAATTCATGTCATGTCATTTCTACCATCGGCTATTTCGCAAACTTTTAATGGCTGTCTCTCTTGTTGGCTTGATTGGCTCAGATCAATGGATAGAGCATTGTGTTCGGTCATTGCAAAGGTCAGGTTCAATTCCCAAGCAAGCCTGATTTTTTTCAGGTTCTTTTTTAACTGCTTACAAGTTAAGGTTGATCATTTCTACTGCAAAGATCATGTTCACTTTCATAATATTTATTGACTTAATATGTTCCTGATAAAGAAACCTTTAAAACACCTCTCACTGCTACGATGTTACACGGATAGTAAATTTTCTGGAGAAAGGGATATCTCTAAACATAGAGAAAAATATCTCTCCTGTCACAGGAGATGTACCTACGATTTCATAGTCCTTGAGGCTGAGTTTAAATTTCCCAAGAGCCATGTATGCTGATGCGCGTCTGTAATATGCCTGGCATAATTGATAGAAAATCATGATTAGTTGAATCAAATTTCTCATGCGGCACGACCAATCAAAAGCACTACCCAGATCTGGGTAGTGACACGTCATCAGTATGGAATTTCTGCGCTTGTTTATCAGACGCCATTCGATGGGGAAACCAGTGCTAGTGTCGCCAAATATCAGCTGTTTTCTCAGGCTAGAGCAGACCTCTCCCGCACCTTTGGCCTTGGCCCTCCATTTTGAACTTACAGTTTTTCACGGCATTGACCTTGTTACCATTTGTTTAATTTTAGTTCTCTTGTGCATGCAATTTATTTCATTTTGTGATTTTGTGATTAATTGCAAATGGAATATCATAAAAACTAGTGTGTATACATTAGCATAAATTATCAAGCATTAAAACACACATTTAACATGTATTAACATTGATTAACATACCTTAACATATTTCTTATCCAGTTCAAGAGCCTTGTTTGCATCTTCAAGAGCACAACCATAGTATTCAGTCTTAATGTAGCAAAAGCTTCGGTTTCCATAATATGCGGGTACAGTGGGATTCAGTTCTATGGCCTTAGTGTAAAGACTAAGAGCGTCATCATATTTTCCCTCTAAATGTAACAAGCAACAAAATCATGATCCAAAAAATCATTTGAAGAATATTATTTTCTTCAATTCGAAAATGAAACTTCAAAAAATCCTTGAACACATTTTTATACCTGCCAACTTTTTCTGAGATGTAGGCGTGAGATTTTCATCCTGGGAGTGCTGGGATTTTTGAAAACGACACGATCATTTCCGAAGATTCCCGAAGAAGTCCGAAGTCTTCCGAAGACGTCCGAAGTCTGCCGAAGGCGAAGTTATCGAGAAAACGCTTATCCACAAAATCAGAGATCGCGAGGAAGGTATTGTCATTTATTCATTTTACACATGGTTTTCGTTCCTTACATGGGTCTGAGTTAACATATTTTTGGAAATTGTGTCAAGCAAGACGGCAACAACTCACATTTTTCAATCAGGCGTGAGAAATTGGTCCGCAGGCGTGAGCAGGCGTGAGATCGAAGTTTTCAACCCGCAGGCGTGAGACTCACGCCTAAGGCGTGAGAGTTGGCAGGTATACATTTTAGTATTAAAAAGACGTTAATGGTCGAGTTCTGTCATACTCTGCAGCTAGACGGGCGCATATCTGGACCAGAGATTGTGGTGCACTCTTATTAATGAAAATCTTCAGTTCAAACTTTGGTCACCAAATAAAACTGTTTAAATGAAAACTGAAAGGCCTTCTATTTTTTGTAAAAATGCCGGCTGGTCGCCCCAATACGGAATATTCTCGAATCTTCTATCTTGTCATTGATTCCTTCGACACCATTTAATTTATTTTTTCGATATTCAAACAAGTTAAATATCATTGAAATATTCGTTGATTATAAAACCATACCTTTAAAGAATTCATTAGCCGTTAACTTGAACTCATCTGCTTTCTTCTCGTCTTCTGTCATCTCGCCACTTGCTGCCTTCTCGTCCGCCATTTTTAATCACTTGTAGCTAGCCCCAGGCTTTTTTCGTTTTTTTCGTATAGGAGCAAGGGAAAGAGGGAGGGGAGGGGAGGGATAAATACTTTCGGGACACAAATGTTGACTGTAAAGTTTTCAGAGGGGTGGAAGGATTTGCACTGGAGTACTAGACCAGTGGTCATGAAGAAGGAAACCTTTTGAAATTACAAGACTACTCACACAAAAAAAATTAATAAGATACCATAATCTAGTTTTGTGTGCATACCCCAAGGAATAGTTCCTGTCATTACTCGGCTCAATACCCAAAAAGGTACAGTGGCAATTTAGATTTAAGCAGCATTCCACGATTTTACCCCGTAAACAATAGGAGAAGCACATATGGGGTTACCCCTGGGTCTCTGGCATATACCTCTTGTCACTCACAGTAATGGCCTTATGGCAACACCTCACTTTCCTTTAAAAGCCTTTAAGCCCTAAAGGTGATGTTACACGAGACCATTTGCGACGACGATTTTCAGCGCAACACAGCATTACAGTATTGTTGCGAAATTGTTTTGAATGGTTGCAACATTGTTCCAACATTGCAATGCTGTGTTGCGCTGAAAATCGTCGTTGCAAATCATCTCGTGTAACATAACCTTAAGAGTGATCAGCATCAAATTTCTCCTTGTAATATCAATGCTAATTTGTAAAACAGAGTGGTCATGAGAATTACGGACGTGATCACACAAGATGAATTTGCTTGATATTTTATCAACTTCTCCCCACTAATTCTGTAGGTAATGAATCGAGGCCACAAATGAGAATTAAAGGGTAAAATAAGGCTCTGTTGGGAGGAGGCAGGTATGCACCCCTCCAGTCCAACTTTCAAAATCCTTCGTTTCACATTTTGAGGAAGCCTGTTCAGCCCCTTTCCAATGCTGTTGAACCTCTCTACAATGGCCACCTTGGGCACGGAAGAAAGTTGCCGCTGTGGAGAGGTTTAAAACAAGAGTCAATGTATGGATTTTTTGTCTGATGGGATAAAAAATAGTGGCCGTTAGCAGAGATTCAGCTGTTTCATATGAGAGCCAGCCCCAAACCCCCACCTTCCCATAGTCCCTTGCGCTTTGTCACCAGTCACTCACATTTCACGAATGCCTCTGTGAGAAAAACAAAGCGCCTGCAGAGGATGAGGCTGACCAAACTAGTCTGCTAGCCGTAATCAACATCCAAAATGTTGTTTTAGATGTTGATCAGGGAATATCTGTACAACGTAACCCGTGCAGCAACCTTTTTTGTCCAAAATACAAAGAACACACATTTGATAATTAAACAGACAATTTTTTTTTCCCATAATCACTTCTAGGTGCAGGCATCAATAATTGACAACAGCTAATACGAACAATGATAGAGCTTAAAGGCATAATGTTTATGTACCATAATTACATTATTTTATTTTTCAATCACCAAATGACTATTTTTTTTCCTTTAGCCAACAAAGAAAGTAATTTACAAATGTACACAAACAAAAAGAAATAAAGTTAAATAGATATACAGTGAACTCTTGAGGTGCAGAACAGGTTTGATGCAGTTAACCCTCACCGGGCCTTAGCCCTGCCTTGGTGGAACAGAGAACACTCATGGCCCATCTCTAAGATGGATATCAATAACAGGCTGACTCTGACCAATTCTTTTGATCAACGTTACTGTAATCAAACCATCTAACAATGAGACAGCTCTCTAAGGGTGGAAACCTCCAGTACACCTTCGCAGTCAACACAAGTCATTTACCACGCCGCTACATTCAAAAGAGTTGACTGTATTAAAGAAAACAAACCTAAATGTATGAACATTTGATGTCATTATTTTCAGGCGTAACTGAAAACAGTACAATGGTTCAGGCTTGGTTGATAAGGATGATGTTCAAATAGTTGTGCCAGATCCAGCGGGGTGATCTGGTGAATAACTGTTACCTGATATATGCTTTAAATGCAAAGTCACCATTTCAACTTATTTTAAGTAGAGTAGTACAATGGGTGAACAAGCATTGACTGTTGTTTTCATGTTGCATCCAGTGGAGAATTCAGTAACCTTATCTAAACTTATAGGGAAGAAAGATGCAGGAAGATAAAATTTTTGTTTCAGTCCTGGGGGCTTCAACCCCCTGGCCATATAGTTCCCTCCACTAAGATCCATCACTGGTTTATCATAACCTTTTATATTGTACCTAAAACTGAAACTTTCACGGAAGTGTGTTCAACTGATATCAAATTAGCCCCTCAATCCAGTTTAGAAAACAATCTTGAAACTTTTGGACTTTCAATATTAAAATACAAGTTCTCCTTTTTGAAGCACTTAAGCTGGTCTCTATAGAAGTATCAAGGAAAGCTAGGTAAACAGAATCTAACCTGAATGATCTTTTTCCTGAATTCTCAATATCTTCTTTAATATAAATAATGATAATCTTTATAAGGACAACGTTGATGTTGATCACTCAGAGAGCATAGAATGGTATGCTTAAACTTTCATATTTGTGCATGAATTTTCAGTGGGTCTAAAATACAGGTCACTTTTCCACAGGCCGGAGTACAGGTCACATGATACAGATAAATGAATAACATTGAAAGTGTCTCTTAGCCCTAATCTCTTGACAAAATGCTCTGTTAGATCGAGGGGAGTCTGAGTTGTTTGGTAATTTATCTAGGGAACAGTGACCTGTACTTTAGACCACGCCCATGAATTTCTTAGTGTGGAAATTTAAATAACAAGACTGTTTAGGTTTCTGGGAAACTGACCACCTACCCCTCCCCAAGTGTCAATGCTGGCTTAGGGGAGGGGTAGGTGTTCAGTTTGCAAGAAACCTACACTGATCCAGATGTCCTATATATCTTTTTTTGTCGACTTTGGCTACTAATGAAAGTGGTAGGGTATAAAATAATAGCAAAAAATCTGCTAAGCTAAATACAGTTGCTAACAATTTAAATATAAATGATGACATGTTACACATCACGCTTCCTCCTTTTTGCTCTGTTACTGTATTCATCATCCGATGTTATCTCAGCATTGTTATTCAGAGGTGAGCTGGGGTCCTGTTTAAGTGTCCCTTCTAGCAATCCATCCCCTGTTGGTGAAGAGCTAAGGAGGTTGTCAGTTGATGTCAAAAGGGCAGTTGTGGCATCAATACTCAGCTGCCCCGAATTTCTTGCTTTCTCCAGTGCTCGAACTATGGCAAAGAGAAAATATACCAATACTCAGCTTAACAAGCCTGCGTGTCCCATATTTCAGAAGATAAAACACCACAGAAAATACAGCTACGTACAACATCAACACAAATCTGCACTGGACAGGGCTGTGCTCTGGCTAGCACTTTTGCTACTGGGAAAAATCTTAGTGTTTTCGAACAAATCATATGCTGGGCACCCTAGATTTTACAGGCTCAGAGCATTGGGCTTCCTTCAATTTTCCCTAGAGCACAGCCTTGCTGCAACTACAAAAGCAGGGCAATAGTAAAGTCCCAACTGTGAGAACAAACGTTTTGTACAAGTAATTTTACAAGAGGCTGTACCTTGCTGGTCAAGAATACCATTCTGTCTTTTAAGGTCATCTATATCAGTCTGAAAAAAAAATCAACAAAAATTACTGCAAAGCCTGAAAATTCGACCCTTACTGTTTATTATTTATTGACCCACAATATTTGAGAATATTATTTTGACTCTCACTTCAGGCTTCTGGTATAAGTATTGTATTTGTATTTGTGAAAAAAATAATAATAAGAGTAGGTTGAGTTTGATCGTCCGGGTGAACGTAGTCCTGAATAGGACGGTTGTTGTTGACAGTGACTGACGCGGTTTCGACAACCTGTGCGGTAGTCATCTTCAGAGTCAAAGTGAGTCAAACAGAGGGCCATGTGTTAGAAAACTCTTTACTGGGTTAATCATGTATCTACCCTCTCAAAATAAAGAACATTGTATTGTATTGTATTGTATTGAGTTGTATCACGTCAGTTGATGGTATTATACTCTGGTTATTGATCTGATTGGTCAATTACGTTGCGATGTTATTGGTTGTCTGTCAGTTAAGCCGTGATGTTATTGGCTATGAAGACTCGTAATCAGTAATTGGTGTGTTTCGATCCGTCTATTGTCACAGTAAATAATTATTATTAATTAATGATAATAATTACTATTTTGTTCCCAAACAATGATTGCACTTACTTGGTGAGAGTGATTCTTTCGTCTCATGAACTGGATATAATCTGTGGCTTTATTAAGAATTTGAGCCCTTGAAGCCTGCAAATAAATTATATCGACCAACTTTAGTTTAAAGTACTGAGAATCAATTTCAACGGTTTTTTAACCTAAAGTCAAAATATAACATTTTGGTGTGTTCCCAGCTAACAGAATCACCTTTTCTAAAGTAGTTTAGAGAATCTGCCAATATTAACCCTTTAAGTCCCACTAGCGACCAACATCAACTTTCTCCTAACGATATCAATAGACAATCAAGGGGAAGGGTTATGAGAATTAATAAGATAATCACCGAAGAGAAAAAAGCTTCGATCTTTTATCAAATTCTCTCAACTCATTCTTTAAGGAAATATATAAAGATCAGTTTGGAGAATTTGTATGTGGATATTGGGTTTTAAAGGGTTAACAGTTGTATTCTGAGGACCTGTAAGGGCATAATTCCACCAAGCGACATAGCTATGAAACAGTGACATAAGACAGGCAGAAATGGTGACAAACAATACAATGATGGGTCAAAAATATGACAGCAACAAAAAAAAACACAAAGACAATAGTAAAAACCGACAGGGACAAGGCTTCCTCCTCAATACACGAGATAACTGGTTTTGATATTCAAACCAGGGACATATGTAAACCCCATCTAAATGGGCCTGTATTTTGGGTAGCCAGCCTTTGAGTGGAAGTGAGAACTGCAGTTTTTATACAAACCTCAGTGACTGCATATACTACTATTACTATCTTCATTTTATCCCAGAATCATAGAATTAAAGCCACCTCAACCCCCCTTCACAAGAGGAGTGGCTTTCCTCTGCTAAAAAATGCCCATGATGTCCCACAAAGGTAAGAGAAAGAGGGGATGTGATAGAAAGAAAAATGTTCGTCATGCAGCTATAACTGTGAATGCATGATGTTCAACCAATGAGGACGCTTGGGGAAGTGATGTATTTCAGGAATTACAAAATAATGTCCGTCTGGCTGGCTGTCTGTCTAGGCACGTCGGTCACAGTTCGTAAAATATTTTGCATAAAACAAGTAATGACCCCTCTTGACAACACAGTATCACGCAAATCTTTATCATATGGAGCAAAACCACAATCATTCCTTCCAGAAAACGAAAATTAGATCTAAGAGCGACACTTAACTTGGTGAACAAGACCATGCAAAGCTTAAGTTTAACTGTTCGAGGAAACCATTTCACCACGCAATTTTGACCGTTAGCAAATTAAAATCCAAAGTGCGCTACAACAAACTGACAATTTGTACAGCTGATAGTTTTGTCACTGATACCAGTTTGTTTTAGGGGCATCCCACAAGAAATGAAATAAATAAAAGATTTCAGAATCTTACCTTCTCCCCTTGAAGCGAAGGTATAGAATCGCGGAGATGAGCGAAGCTATCTTTAATGTGATCTCGTCGCTTTCTCTCCAGAGCGTTGTGATGTGCTCGCTTATCGGCCTAAAATAAAACCGAATCATGCATCCATGAAAGTGCAAAACTAACCGACAGGAAAATCTACCTAGCAGATAGAATAGGGCATTCGCTCCTCATAAAATATTCAAATCCTGAGAACCAAATTTTGTCAATTTGGGCAAAGTTCCATAATAGCGTGACGGCGATGGACGAGGGAAAATCCCTTGAAATCTGGAATATTTTACAGATTTTGAAAGTAAAAATTTCTTTGTTATGAATCTCAACAGTCAAAAAAATCACCTAGAAACGGATCTAAGAAAAATTGAGCCCCTCAAAACATCGACACGTGTTTCCCTACTAAAGCCATGTGGACGTAGTTTGCACGCAATTTGACACCAAAACATAGGGTATACCTGCGACATATACTGCGGTTCTTCGCCATTTTCAGCTGCCTCCTACAAAATAATCAGACAGTTTTTAAACGGAACGATGCTTAAACAACTTGCAAAGTCATAAAAATACAATACTCAATTTACCTCGTCACTTTCAATGTCGATTTCCTTCTCCTCGTCGCTCATATTTTCTTTCTTGCCTTTCGCCATCGAAATAGAAGCCGACCCTCGTGATTCGAGCACGTGTCACCTCCAAATGACGCGGATTCTTCTCGGTAACGACGACCAATCACGATAGAGATTCGTTTGAAATTAATGACAGCCGAAAATGATAAATGCTTCCGAATAGAGGCAGAGATGCCTTAGTCACGATTTTGAACTAAAGAACGTGCTTTCCTAGCTAACTTATTTGTTGACTTTCAGATTTTTTTTATTTTTTCTGTATACACTGACTTATGATGAATCTGAGCGTTCTTGAAACAGTGCTAAAAATAGTGTCAACTGAGTTGTGTCTGTTAGAGAAGATAAAATCGGATAAACAGTTCTGTTTAATAATATAAAACAAACAAGACAACGATTTCTTAAATTTTCTTCTTCTTTAATATTTTAACAGTCGTTTTTTCGTTAGTGTCCTTCGGTCGATCGGATGATCCATGTTACAGACGCTCCTTCTTTGTGTGCAAAGGGGACGGTGTTCAGCGTCTGGAAAAACGAGATCCTTTTCCGCAAAAAAATAATTCATTCGACACTTTTTTCATCGGTTTCCTTGCCTGCGTGCAGACGTCTCCTATTTCCTTTGTTGCACGCGTGCACGCAGGCAATCGGTTTCCCGAATCCCGTTTTTTGTTTCCAAAATACTCAAGTTTAAATAGCAGTGGCGGATTCAGGAGGGGAGGGGACCGCCCCCCCCCACCTTATTTTGGGACCAAACTGAGGCCCGAAGGGCCGAAACATTTTTTTAGGAGACCGGGCCCCTCCTTATCTCTAGGTTTGGATCCGGCACTGAAAAGACCAGTGCTGCAGAAGCTAATAACAGTGTAAGACGTTGATTGGCCCTTTCGATTAATATTTTGAATATCTGTTTGAATTAAAGCTTTTCCGCCTCAGTATGATGAAGTGGAGGGAAAAAATCGGAAGAAACTAAGATGGACGAAGAGAGATTTCCTGAATTCCTGACACTGACAGGCGAAAAAAATCCCCCATTCAACGCCCAAATTTGTTTTTCAGAATACCGCTTCCCGGGTAGAAGTCAAATCCCGTTTCCCGTCAAGATATTTGGGTTTTCCCGAATCCCGCACCGTATTTTAGTCAAATTCTAGCATGTTCCAGGCTTTCAGATGGTAGGTGGGGAGCGAGTTAAAAATCGTGTTTATAAACGCATGGACAGACTAGTCAAATCCCGGATTCCGAAAATACACTTGGCTTCCAGACACCGGGTGTTTATTTGGAACGAATACTCTGCCTGATTTTATGTCCGTTTTTATCCATCTTTTTTGACGGATTTTGAAGACGGATTAATCCGTTTGTAAAGTCAAAACGGTCGAATGTAGTGAGACTTTAATCCACCCCCTCCCTCTCGTTTAATCAACCGTCAGATTCCGAAGTTTTCCGAAGATGATTCGTGTTTGTGGAGCCCAGGTCGCTTTGCTTCACCGTTGATCCAGAGTTGCCTGGAAGAATCACATGGACATGTCGAGAGGGAAAAATCGAGACAATGGATTCTTAGCGGATAGGTGACTGGTTATTCACCGGAATATTCCTAAACATTCTTTACTTTTACAGTCTTCAAGTTCAGATCTCGTTAACAAAAGGTTTACCTTAATTTCCACACCTTCGAACAAGAGTACGATTCATAGATTCATAAAAGCGCATTGTCAGGATTCCGGATCGATTAACCGGCAAGATAAATGACACGAGCAACTTGGAAATATATCTTTATTCTCGTGACAATATGGCTGCTTATTGTAGGTTACATGGGCTGGCAGCTCTTGTCCGTAGTAGAGGACTCAAATCGAAACGTGGCAGTGGTGTTACAGAAAGAAAGACAGTTAGACTTAATGAAGAGCCAAAACGAGGCTCTAAGAAAGAAATTAGCCGAGGTTGAAGGCCTCAAGGATAAACTGGAGGTCGAAATTGCGGAGATTAAAAAGAAGAATGTGGAATTGGAGCGTAAACTGAAGTCTGTTAGTGTCTCATCATCATCAGCCGCCGTGAAACGCGACGAAGGGTCGAAGGAGAGTCCGGCGATCTCTAATGAATTTAGGCCACCTAGCAGGGAATTTTTAATCACAAGGAGAAGGGCAGAGAAAACATTGAAAGAATTATGGTATTTTGTAAGTTCAGAAATAACCAAGGTAAACAAGATCGCTAGCGATAAAGTGCAATCGAAACTTCGCCAAATTATGGGAACGGTGGAAGACATGCACCACTTGCTATCACACAACTTTGAAAACTTGAAGACGATGGATGGCCAACAAGATTGGGCTGAAAAAGAACATAAGTTCCTTAGCGATCTTGTTCAAAGAAGGCTTCGTTACTTGCAGCACCCAAAAGATTGCAATACGGCAAAGAAGCTCGTATGTCAGCTAAACAAAGGCTGTGGCTACGGTTGCCAGGTACATCATCTAATGTACTGCTTCATTGTTGCTTATGGCCTTGAAAGAACTCTGATAGTTGACTCTAGTGGCTGGAGATATTCATCCAATGGTTGGACAGGCATTTTTAAGCCAGTTAGTGAAACCTGTATAAGCCATCAGGGGCATGTAGCCGGATGGAGTGGGGATGCCTCTAAAAATGAACAGAATGTTTTATTGCCAATTGTAGATAGCCTTTTCCCGAGACCTAAGTATATGCCTTTAGCCGTTCCAAAAGACTTAGCAAGCCGAATAGAACAAATTCATGGGCATCCATTTGTGTGGTGGATTGGGCAGTTTGCTAAATATTTATTTCGTTATGCACCTCAAGTTCAAGAAGAAATTGACAAGAAAAGATCCTTGCTTGGTTTCAAGAAACCCATTGTTGGGTAAGATAGTTATTTAAACCTTTTAGTTATTTAGAATGAAAAACTTATATATCTGTGGATCAAATTCACTGTAAAAATTCCTTTTATATTTAAGTTGCTTAAATGCAAATGCATTCATTATTTTCAGTAAAACAAACACTCTGTTTATAGAGCTGTTAGAGTCCAGAATTGAAAATTCTGAAAGTTATTATCCATTAAGAATTATCAAAAAGCTTCCCCGTGTTAGTTTTTACTTATAGATTTTTAATCAATGAAAGTAAATTAATTTTTATTAATTTATGAGGAATATCTCAAAGGCAATTAAGTTAAAGAATGTTTTTCTCCCATTTTTATGAGTTTTAAAATATGACTGTCACAAAGACATTATTTTTGAAAGAATTATTGTGTTAAAGAGAGAAAATTTGGTTAACAATGTTAAATGACAGATCTCTAGTAAAAATATAAGTATGTAAACATACCCTTCATCTGTGTCACAAGATCTTTAAAGGCAAAGACTAGCCTGAATTTCATCCGATTACTTTGAGTCGTTATTACTCCCCAGGGAGTAATAACGAATCAAAGTAATCGGATGAAATTCAGGCTAGGCAAAGACCTGCACTAACCTAAACTCAATAAAATGGATGATTTGGCATCACATGAATACATTTCGCAAATTACTGAAAATTTTGACTGCTTGCATATCAGAAATATATTTGAACCCAGAGAACATGGTTAAAGTAGACAGGATTTATTTTTTTGATTTGGGTTGATTCTCAATTTCTGCTATCTCTTAGTCCTAATTCACAAAATTAATGATAAAAAAATCAACCAAGGTGGAAAAAAAATTTTAACCTGAATGTTGACTCATACAATTTATGTGAGAGAAAAACACAAATGATAAAATTTGGTTGAAAGGGAGCATAAAAATGTGAAAATATAGTCAAGGTGGTGGTAAAATAATTTATTGTTTTTCATATTTACATTTTGAGAATGTTCATTTTGGTTTCTTTTTTTTTCTTTTTTGCAGGGTTCAAGTGCGGCGAACAGATAAGATAAACACAGAAGCAGCCTTTCACAGTATTGAGGAATACATGTATTGGGTTGACTTGTACTACAATAAGTTAGAGAGAGTGCAAACTATTGAACAGAGACGAGTATATCTCGCCACTGATGATTCAAACCTATTGCCTGAAGCAAAAGAGAAGTATGTTTCTGCGGTATTTATGCCTTAAAAACCTAACTGCATAATTCCCTTGTATGATTATGGGGATGGTTAGCATAGCCAGAAAGAAGAATATGAAAAAAGACCACGTGCTAAAAATCAGCTTGTCCATGGAAATGTTATGCTTCTGATGACTCCATACAAATCCTTCTAAAATAGGCCTAGATTGTAAACATTATGATCAAAGCCAGTTTTAGGAAAAAACAGTGGTGGATCAAGGGAGGAGGCCCCTCCTTATTTTTAGACCAAACTGGGCCCCCCTTATTTCAGGGTCTGGATGACCCCCCCCCCTTATCTGAAGGTCCTGGACCTGCCACTGAAAATCTCCCCACCAACTTGCATTAACTGGCTGTGTTCATTCTGAATGTGCCAACCAATCCCATAATCAATGTGAGTATCAGGGATAACTTTATTTTTTGTTTAAATAGAGCACAAAACCCCATGGGTACAAAAATTTGCTAGTCTATCATTCCAAGAAAATTTTGTTGTCACATTGCTCGTGCACAGTAGATCACTGCCATATGGACACCCACTCAATATGGACACCTCGTAAACTGATGGAGTTAGACTGTAGATACAGTAGTTGTTGACCACCCACCCAGTACATGTGTTAGCCAAAGGTGCACATTTCTTACAAGTGTGTTGTTGCCATTTCAGGTACAAGAACTATGAATTTATAAGTGACAATGAGATCTCCAAATCTGCTGGGCTTAACTCACGCTACTCTGACTCATCTCTGCATGGTGTTGTGTTTGACATCCAGATGTTAGCAGAATGTGACTTTTTGGTGTGTACATTTTCATCGCAGGTAAGACTTTTAAATTCATTTCAAACCCAGAAGTATATAATATTAAAATTGTTTTTTGTAAAATTTTAAAGAAAAAAACACCATGTGACATGCTGCCCATGAGGTTTCATTTGAATGGTAACACCATGAGATTTCATACACAGACTGAAAAGTGAGAACCACCTTTTACAGGATAATAAACAGTACCATAGGATCTCATCTACTGACTCAAAACTAAGAACATTGTTAGAACCACCTTGTACAGCGTAATAAACAGTACCACAGTAAAGTACTGCACAGTAGCTTTCATTTGAATGGTTACACCGTAAGATTTTATTCACCGACTCAAAAGTTAGAACCACCTTGTACAGCATAATAAACAGTACCACAGGAAAGTAATGCTCAGTAGCTTTCATTCAAATGGTCACAACATAGGATTTCATCCAAAGACTCAAACGTTGGAACCACCTTGTAATAGCTAACTGCAGAAGGATAGCCTCTTCTCTAACAATAGCAGCCTTAAAAAAAAACAAAAAAAAAAATTTAATACTGCTAATCCTTTACATCTGAAATCCATCCTGGACAAACACCAACAGCTAAAATTCAGGGGGGTAGGAGTAGGGTAAAAACCAAGGCTGTGCTCTAGCAGCACTTGGTGGCTTGTGGCGCCTAACTTTTGCTCCCAGGCAACTAGAAAATCTTAGTTTTTTCATAGAAAAAATAGCTGGGCACCCTGGATTTCACAGATTCAAGGCACAGGGCCCCCTGCAATTTTTCTTAGAGCACAGCCTCAGGTTACGTTAACATTGGCACATGAGATTAAAAAAATTTTATATTTTATTTTGTTTCATTCAAACCTCATTTTGTCTTTTTTTTAAATACATTTGCTAGGTTTGCCGTGTGGCCTATGAAATTATGCAGTCAATGCATCCAGACGCATCTAAGAAATTTCAATCACTTGATGATATTTATTACTTTGGTGGTCAGTCGGGTCATGATGTGCGAGCCATTTACCCTCATAAGTCACAAAGAAGCTCTGAAATTAATCTCTATGTGGGAGATCGCATAGGAATTGCTGGTAATCACTGGGATGGCTATTCCAAGGGTGTCAACCGCAAAAGAGGTGGCGATGGCCTCTTTCCGTCTTACAAAGTGGAAGATGTTATGGAGGTGGAGGAATTTCCAACCTATGCAGGAGCATAGGCAAATCTTTACTGTTGTAGTTTTTTGTAGTTATTTTTTGTATTTTATTTTTTTGAATGTTTTATCCAGCAGTGGATCCAGGGGACAACCCCACCCCCCCCTTATTTTTAGACCAAACTGAGTCCTGAAGGGCCCAAAAAATTTTTTTGACACTGCCTCCCCCCTCCCTTATCTCAGGGTCTGGATGACCCCCCCCCCACTTAACTGAGGGTATGGACCCACCACTGTTATCCTTGTAAAAATGGGTTTATTGTCTTTCTGCACTTAAAAATTAATGAAGACTAGCACCCACATTTTCAAGAGTATTTTGAAGAAGATATGTATTTTACAGCCCCCAAAGGAGTCCATATCGATCCTTCAGCATTCAAATGTACTTGGAGTAGGTAGTTCAAGTCAATATTTTTAGCTTTGCCAAGTACTCGCTACGAAATTTAACTTCCAAAGCGAATAAACATTAAGAACTTCCAGGTAACTTCTTACGATTATAAAAAACAAAAGTTCGGTAACACAAGGAGTAGACACACTGAATTCTGCAAAGCTGATCGTAATACGTGAAATTTAACTTTGCAAGACATCAACACGACACCGAAAGAACCAAAAACAGAGCGGGGTCGTAGCCGCAGACAGCCGTATACTAACACAAGGGTTGCTTTCATTGCTAACGGAGGAGCATTTATCCTAATAGACGAAGAAAAAACTGGGTAAATTGGGCTCATCTCCGGTGTGATATAATTTATTACTCACAGCTGGTGTAAAACAAAGAAAACAAAACATCCTTAACAATGAACCTAACCCTGACAATAGTCCATAAAACCAAGAAGACGAATAAATTACATTACACCAAGAATGGCTCGTAAACTGGCACGAACCTAAATTAGGGAGCTTGAGCAACAAAGACGGAAATGAAAACGTCGCTAAAAAGTGAATTTGCGGCCGTTCAAACTTTATCGCGTCATTTAGACTCCTTCAGTGTATCACTTTGTCTCATGGCGAGTTGAAGTCTTGGTTTGCAACCACGTGACAAGGCGGCCATGGTGGGGGTCAATACAATAGAATTTTTTCTGGAAGAATTTACTTGAAAATAGAGTTTAGTTCCCAGAGGAGAGAAATGCTTTTGTTCCTGACCACCAACATGGCCGCCTTGACGTCACGTGCAAATGAGCAATTCTTAAGGACTTTATTCGTGTCCAAAAAGAGAAAGGAAAATTCGTTGTCGTATGTTCATGTCCTCTAACTGTTTTTTGACGTCGGTGGTTGTCGTGGCTGTCGTAGTTGCTTATAGGGAGTTTTCGCATCGACGACGGCAACTGCAGCGAAAACGTCATTTTTAAAATGAATTCCCGCTTTTTCAATCTTTGTCGCGTTTATTCCAATTTGCTGAAAATGGCAAGTGTAGGCGAATTTCCCTGGAGTTGATTTCTTGAGGACCGCACTGAAGTCTAGAGAGAGAAAAAGAGATTCGTCGTCGCTTGTTTGCGTCCTCCATAAAACTTGCAATTAGGCTTTTTCACGTCGTAGTCGTGCGAGGACGGTAAAGAAATGTACAAAAAAGTGTGACGCACGTGCAAAGTTGTTGTTTTGCGTAATAAACCTATTGCTTTTTTGACGTCCTCTTTGCCGTCGCCGTCGTCGTTGCTAAAGGTCCCTTATGTTTAAGCCCCCGTGAAACAACTCCCAGCATTGTTGGATGTTACATGTTGCGTCCGTTGCGTGTTGTTGCGCAAATTTTGAAACCGGTCAAACTTTTAGCTACGTGCAAACGGACGCAACAACTCTCAACGGCCCGACAATGTTGGGAGTTGTTGCGTCACTGTTGACAGTGGTGTGCAAACGGACGCAACAACTCCCAGCAACGGTTGAACCTGGAGTGCATCGTGGGAAGGATATAACCCATAAGACTTCCTAAACTTCAAGGAGACCATGTGAAATGCGCGTGCGTGGCTAGCCTGCGTAGCTGGCGATATTGTGTAGTAGTCGAGTGAGATTTGGCGGCGGAGCCGTCACCAGCGGCGAAGCCTCGAGAAATACGGTATTTCAACCGCGTCGTCCCTACTCCCTTTTTTTGGAACACGGCTTCTCCGCCAAGACTTTAATCTCGCACCCACACAATACCGCCAGCTACGCAGGCTAACGTGGCCCCGGCCAACAATGCTGGAGGAGCTGTGAAAACGGATCCAACAATTGTTGCGCTACGCTTCGGTGATCACGGAACAAAAGAAATGTTGGGAGTCGTTTGCTCAAAAGTGTGACCAGTTTCAAACTTTGCGCAACAAGTCCCAACAACATGCAACAGGGTGTGCAAATGGACGCAGCATCTAACATCCGACAATGTTGCGTCCGTTTGCAAGGGCCTTAAATTTACCTCAGAAATTTATTTGCGTTCCAGTCTATTTGTTTATATCTGAAATGACAACCCCCATACCCTCAAAAGTCAAAAGATCGTCCCCATCGCAGGAGAGGGGACAAGCAACGCCTTCTTAGTTATGAGGCAACCATTTTGTCTTTTTTCAAAATACGCGGTGCTCAGAACTTGATTGCCACAGGCAGCCCAATAATAATAATGGTGCAATTGCGCACGCGCCGATGATGATTTTCCAAAGCAATTCCCATTCCTCTCGATACGAATACAGTTTGTAAATACTTTACTCTTTCTTGGCTTTGTTTCTACTCTTCTCACAACACAGTCGACATATGAGTCTGCATGTCAACCTTACCATCTTGACAACCAATGTAACTATGGCAACAAGAAAAGCTATGACGTCAAGTAGGTAATACTGATACCAAGGGATGTTAAACACTTGAGCTCTGAGATGGCGGGCTCCACCATGTCTGATCACATACTCTATCCAATCACAAGTTGTTTCTAATGGGGTCCGTGGCTTGTCTTGCATCAGCCGAGATATTCGCACGGCTTTAATCTTATATCTGAAACAATAATTTCAGCGGGCTAAGTAAGTTGTTGTTTTCCAGGACGAAACAGCTACCCTTAGCTGCCAATAAAAATCTACTATCCTATGTCTGCGTCGCGGACATTGATTTGCATACTCCGCTTCAATGGTCTGCTGCTTTTACAGATCAAACCCCTCTGAGACAACGCGATGTCGAACTTGAATAGTATTTGGGTCGCGTCATTTTTACCAAAGGAATTTCTCGATTCCCTTTGTTTTCTCCAATGCTTCGCGATTGGCTGTAACAAGTTTTTGCGTCACAGTCAGGAGAGAGACCAACACCAATAATGCTCTTTCTGGCAGCGGCAGTTTTCCCGCGCTTTTCTCATCGCCTTCGTGAACCTCTATTATGTGAGTGAACGAAAAATAGTTCGCGCCACTTTCTTAACCATATAGCGATACTCACGCTGATATTAATGTGCCGAACACAAGCGCACTGGTTCTTGAAACAAAAGATTCTTTTGTTTCACTCGTTACAAAAACAATGTCTGCAAACAGTTATGACTCCTATCGGAAGATAGCATGCGTTTAAACCATTTGTATACAGAAGGTTTAAGGCGACACCGGCTAATCGAAAGCAAGTCCAAAATCAGTAGAGCGTAGTCTTGCTCTTTCCTGATTTCGTCGCAGCGGACGCCCATTTTTAGTTCACGGTAACCTGAGATCAGGCCCAATTTTAGCGGTTCTCATACATTCTCTCTAACGGCTACCGTTGCCTTGCCCGCCGGAATGTAATTTTTAAAGCGAAACGGAAATAGAGCCTGATCTCAGGTTAAGTTCAATGTGACTACTGATTCGAATGTTAAGATCTATGATGTGATTGGGGCAAAAAACAATCTGCGCCACGCAACTAACTGAAAACCGGAGCCTGCTGAAAAGTAGTACTTTAAAGAACATTGTAAAACATTTAAAGTACATTCGTTTACCTCGGTTCTGTAGCAACGCGTTCAATTGTCTTGAATAACTGATGGGCATCCACTGTTTCATGATCGACAGCGATTCCTAGTCCAAATTGTTCCACTTTCTTGGCATTTGCGAACTGATCTGCAAACAGCGGAACTGCTACCACAGGGACCCCATGATAAGCAGACTCGTACACACTGTTATGTCCCGCATGGGAGACAAACGCTTTGATGTCCTTGTGGCCCAGAAGATCATTCTGAGGTAACCACTCCACTACTTTGATTTTTGGACTTAGAGACGGGGGAACATAATCTAAGAAATCATAATAAAGGATTGTCTTATGTTTCAATGTAAATGTGATTTCTTTAGAAGCACTATTTTCCTACCTTTTAGCCTCCAAAGCACTCTTTGCTTTAACTTTCCAAACACCGTAGCCAGCATATCTAGCTTTTCTTTATTTAGAACCGATTCTACATAAGACCCAAACGACACCACGATAAAGCCATGCCCTCCTGAATCGCGGATAAATTCTTCGAAATCAGGGGGGAGCGGCTTTGGTTTTTTCACAGTGATCGGACCAACCATTATGTTACCTAAAAATAAGTACACAAAAAAATTTTATTGAGGTAAATATATATATTAAACATGACGTGTTGCGCTCAATGTTCTAGGATCAAAACTTTTCATGCACCATAATTGTCAAATAACTCCCTTTTGGCTTATCTAACATTCAGTTTTGTGACTATGGTCGTTCGAGTAACTGTAAAAGTGAAAGGCAAAGTAAGTTAAGGCGTCGAAAAGGGAGGGGGAGGGACGGACAAAAAGAGAAGGGAATGGGAAGAAAAGAAAATTCTCCCTCTCCCCCTGGTTTCTTTCGGTTTTTCCCTCTCCTCTCTCCTTTTTTGCGCCTGCTACGCAGAGTATACATTTTTTGTCTTCGCTGCACGACTACTGGTGGAAGTGAACGTACGAAGAAGAATTTCCTTTTTCTTTTTAAACTTGGATGCGTTCCCTGACAATTCAACTTTAAAAAAAATGCCAACATCTGAGAAAGTAAGCGGACTGGAGTCATTGCGATAAAGTCTGGGAGACCACAAATACACTACCCTACGAGCAGAGGCCCTTCGATCTTCCTAGATAAATCCCTTCCTCCTCTTCCCGACTTATCTAGGAAGACCAAAGGGCCTCTGCTCGCAGGGTACAAACACACTTGATAAGTGGTGTACGTCTTTGAGGCGCATCAAACCCACCTGGTAGAAGAGGCTGTGGATACTCCATGGCAAAATCCGCTAAGAAAATCACCAGTTCGGCGTTACCAAAACTTTCCCTAAAGCTTCTTTCCGCACTGATATTAAACTTAGCCATCAGCGCATCATATGAACGAACATAGAGAATCTTGAATAGAGCTTGCATTAGACAATAGGAAACTACATTCACAGCCCGCTGTATGAAAGTCATGTTGCTTGAATATCCAGATTGATGTATTGGTACGTACGACAAAGGCATAGGAACCATATGGAAAATAGAAAAAGGGTTATTCGGCGGTGTGATTGAAGGGTATGGTTTTCAAGCAGTTTTAGGATAGGGTATATAAATCAGAGCGTTTGGCTCTAGAATAACAGAAACTGATCAGTTGGTTGAAATCTAGACTAGGTACACAGCTACTCTAGGAAGGGGGAAGATCAAAATTCAGCTGAACTAGCTCTGGTAAAGGTTAAGGGTTCCAGGCTCCCAGCGGCACATCCCCACCCAGAAATTCCTAAAGTGCCCCCCCCGGGGATTGAGATTGCTACTTTCGGAAGCCTTAAAAGACCGCTTAGCAGAACTGCACATGGATCAAACGAGTCGTATACAATAAGATCAAAATCCTTTAGCTCTTCAAGAAGTTCTGTGCTGTTAAGAAGACTTTCGCACATTGTCAGGTGAAGCTTATACGCGTTCCATCCTATCATATGTTTGTTTCCTTCCAGTGCAGGTCTTATCAAAGTTTCTTCGATGAAGCCGGGTTTGAAGGGCACTTGAAACTTCTTATGAGGGATTTTGTCGCCGCGTTTGCTTTGCCTGTCTGAGGACACGACCATTGCAACCTTAGTCGAAAAAAATCAGAATAATAAAATGGTTAATAGTTCTAAAAATAACCTCGCACATCGAGAGCCCGAGATAATCGGCCGTCTCGCGATTTTCGTGCCGTTTGTGGTGATTTAACGAAGATATTTCGAAGAGCTTCAAGGACTTTCCAACGTTCGTTGTTAAGTAACGATTGGAGATTGGATTGGAGTTTCTTTTGTCCCTGCACAATTTTACAAAGCTTAAAACTGACTGCGATAAATTTTAATCCTTGCCACAAAGGCACTCGCGCGTTGCTTTCTATCCCTCTCTCGAAAACGGGTGTGAAAAATGACATTTTTGGCCTGAAATAAGCTTATGGTCATCGGTCAGGATTTGGAGAACCGGGCGGCACACCCCGACCAAGAATTCCCAGAAGTACCCGCCACCCCTCCCTCGTGTTATTTTTGGCACAATATGGAAAAGGTAAATGAAACAAAATACTGAAGATTTTGGCAACAATAACAATTACTAGATCGAGCAAACAAAACTCAATCATTATTCGATATTATACGAATGAATGATCAGTTGAATAATTAGCAATGCAGATTAATTAAGACTGACATATGTTCAGATTAAACTTTAACATTGATCGAGCCTTTCGAAGGGTTAAACCCACTTAAACAAACTGGTTCAGATCATTTAAGGTCATTTAAGTAAAACTATGGTAGTATGCTTGTGCGACCAGTGATTTTTCAAAATTTGACAATGTATGTTGTCTCATAAAAAACGTTTTTTACCTCGTGACCTCGCGAGGCTAGCTCCTCTAAAGTGTTTCTTATAACAAAGTAGTGAGATCCTGACGACACGAAACTGAAACCCGCAATTTTAGCGGATAAAGCTGAATTGACGAGGGTAAAACACACCAGAATGATGCACAACGACGCCATTATGCAGAGTTGCAAAGCATCTGTCGATAGAGCACTATTCGTGTCTATTTGCATATACTTGACTTACTTTGGCTTTATGCGTCACTTGTGCTCGTAACGCAATTGCATAATTTGTATTTGTCACACTTAAAAACAGTCTATACATCGACAATACTAGTAAAGTACTCTCAACATCTTGTCGTCCGGTGCAATAAACTAGTTCGCACCTAATGCTGGGAGGACTGTGCAAGTTGCTTGCAAAAAGCGGCGTCAAGGAGAAACTTCAACAAATGCGAAAAGAGATTCGAGTTTTCGTTTATTCGTTAACTCTTTTTGCATTGCAAAAACAAGGTAGTTCCGCCCTTTTTTGTTCCCTGTACATGCATGTGACATGACTCAACAAAACTGCAACCAGACCTGAGTCGAACTGAGAAAAGAAGATCTCACTGAGGTGGTAGTTTTGACGGTTAACGGTTATTTTATCGGAAAATTTAGTTGAGTTCTGTATGACTAATATGGACTGTTGTTTTTTCGAGGTTACCTTTTTAGTCTTTCAAATATAAAATTTCGAGGTATTTTCAGATAAAAGCAAGTTGTACGGTTTTGTAATGTCTAGAGAGAGTGTTTTTGATTGTTGAGAACACTGATGGGAACTTGTTGTTCCAGTCAAGAGATTCTTTAGGTCCCTCAGGAGCCAGAAGTTCGTGACGGATCAAATGAAATAGTGAGATCTGGAATACCTTGAATCGTTTGCACGGTTAACATTACTTTGCATTTTTGACAGTTAACGGTAAAAAATAACCTTTCTAAAAAAAAACAGCCCCATACAACCTCGTTCCCAAGTTCTCTCTAATTAACTTGTTTATCTGGTGGCAGTTCTGTTCAGGCAGAAATTTGCGATGGTTTCAGTTATAGTTGTTGGGTTAGCAAATCTATCTTGCTCTTGCGGACCCTTGCGATCATTGCGTAAACGAGACAAAAAATTGTGAAACAAAGGATTCCTCCCTCAGAGTTAAATTTGTTCTGGAGCCACGTGGCCAGTTGCCTGGGTGCAGACGTCTCCTATTTCCTTTGTTGCACGCGGAAAAGGGACCTTTTCCGCGTGCAACAAAGGAAATAGGAGACGTCTGCACGCAGGCAACGTGGCCAGACGCAACCAGGGTCTCTCTCTCGTTCCGTAGGGAAGGGTAGGAGAGAACCCTGGGAACGAGGTTGAGCCCCATATAGTGCGCCCCAGTCTCGCGCATGACCTCAAAAAGGCAAATGCTCAGGTTACTCCCTCTTAGTTTTTGCTCCCCTACACTTGTTACAGCAGAACCAGCACAGACATCTGCATGTTAATCGTATCACCATGACGACCAGTGTAACTATGACAACAAGGAAAGCTATGACGTCAAGTAGGTAGTACTGATACCAAGGGATGTTAAACACTTGAGCTCTGAGATGCCGAGCTCCACCATGTCTGAGTACATACTCTATCCAATCACAAGTTGTCTCTAATGGGGTCCGTGGCTTGTCTTGCATCAGCCGAGATATTCGCGTTGCTTCTCTTTTGAATCTGCAACAGTTTACAGCACAAGTTGCACATCGTCAAAGTATTTGTCGCCTGTGAGTAAGCTCTCCAATTTATGGCGAACGAAGCGAGCGAACGCGCGCGCGTGCAAGCGGCGAAGCGTCTCCTTTCGCGTGCAGCTCTCGCGTGACTTCTCGCGACTCCTTCAAATGGAGAACTTGTTCGAAGGCTAGTAAATGTTACACTTATGAATTAATTGATTTTTCAAATAGAAAACGTCTCTGAAGATAAAAAGCACTAATTTACGCCAACAAAGCTCAGTAGAGCTCAGTAAGTCCTGGAGCGCTTTCCATATACATTGGAAAACCGGAAAATCGATTGGAAAATCAAATGGTTACCGTTAACACCATTCCGTTTGAAAAAAACCATGGGCTGTGATTTGAGGTGATGCAATTTTTTTTTTCTTTTCTTAGTCTGATTAACTGATTTGGATATACCAGGAGCCAATAACTGGATATACTTTTTCGCGGGTTGTTCTCCCTATAGACCACGTCAAATTCTATAGTTTTATATGTTTATGCACAGGCTTTCCACCCCGGTATTTTGGGTAAATGGTAAGCACCCTCTGTTACCTTGGTTCAGTGATGACTTGTTCTATTGCCTCAAACAGCTGATCTGCATACACAATTTTATAATCCACAACTATTCCCAGGCCAAATTGTTCCACTTTCTTGGCATTGGAAAACTGATCTGCAAACAGTGGAACTGCTACTACAGGGACCCCATGATAAGCAGACTCGTACACACTGTTGAATCCGACATGGGAGACAAACGCTTTGATGTCCTTGTGACCCAGAAGATCATTCTGAGGTAACCACTCCACTACTTTGATGTTCGTACTGAGTGATGCAGGGCTGTAACCTACGTTCGCACAAAATTTAACTTGAAAACTTTGGTCACATTTTGAAAGACATCACATGCCTTTGTTACGCCATAAAACGTATTAACAATCTCTAGCTTATGAAATCACGTTACAAACAAAATGTAGCATAATAAAGAAAGAAATCCTTCAAAAGCTCAACCACAGTGAAAACACAATACTTCTCGTAAATATCTATAAAGGCACAGTTTCCTTTGAAATATTGGGATTCGTTTCTCAAAAAGGTCGTTTCGTCTGGAAGGCCGGAAGGTACTTCCTTAATTTTCTTTCATTTTCAAGAAATGATATTGATCTTTATCGTAAAAGTAGAGGAGACACGGTAATGGCTGTACTGGGAATTCAGAAACGATTGCACCAACACCGGGATTTCAAATACTCGGCTCCTAACCAATATGAATAATATCAAAGGGGGGGACGGCGCTGTTTGACGATTTTTATAAAAAAAAAAAAAAACAAAAAAAAACAAAAACAAATTTCAGTGTTGACATGTTCTTCCGTTTGAAGTTAAGATGCCTTTAAAATTGCAAACAGACCGCGAAAATATTAATGTTGTTCAAATAACATCTGAACATCAGCAGTAGTTCGTTTGATAAAGCGTTGCCCAGAGAAGGCCACGATATATATAAGACACGCTACCTTTTTGTCTCCACAAAACTTTCTGCTTCAACTTTGCAAAAGCTGCAGCCATCATGTCAATCTTTTCTTTGGGGATGATTTTTTCCACATACGAGCCAAAAGACACAATGATGAACCCGTGCCCCCCTGTATCCTGTAGAAATTCTTGTAAATCAGGGGGGAGGGCACCAGGCTTTTTAACACCTATTGGGCCAACCATGACTACACCTGCAATGTAGAAACAAGAAATTGGAGTCCATGAAACTACTGCTCCATCTCTAGTCAGGCTAGAGGTAAATAGCAGTGCCGGATTCAGACCTTGAGATAAGGGGGGCCCGGTCATCTAGACCCTTAGATAAGGGGGGACGGTACCCCGCCCCCCCGGATCCGCCACTTAATAGAATCCCCGGCGAGGTTAGAAGGGAGAGGGAGTGCGAAGAGAAGGAGCCATGAATTTCCCTCTTTGTCGTCAAGAACTTTTTTGCCTTAGGCTATGTTTACACTATACTGGATAGGTTTTGTGCAGCCACAAAAATCATCTCCCGATAGTTTGTCTGTTCACACACAAAAACGTTTGTGGTGGCGCGATTTCTGGGACGCGGCGAAGCTGCGCCGCGCCGCTCTTGAATATCGGATTGGTTTTCTGCCTTACTTTGGTGTAGTGTGAACACCTATTCAGCCCGTCGCGGAAGTAAAAAATTAGGAGCGAGGACTAGAACCTACTGAGACGGAAGTAAATACAGTCGAACCTCCATGTGCGACCACCTCCCATAAGCGACCGCCAATCCAAAACACCAAAACTTTCACAGTCAAAGCCTTACAGTTGGAACCTCTAGTAAATGACCACCTCCTGTAAGCGACCGCGACCACTTTTTGGGCCTGGAGGTTAATGACTTTTATCGTTTTTAATCTCTTGTAAGCGACCACTTGACGCATTCTCTGATCTCTATTTTCGCTGTGTGCACTATGTTACTTAGAATATACGAATATCTCTAGTGACAACTTGGAACAACACATATCCTAACTTAGACATGGCATGCCATAAATTTCTTCCACAAAGTAGATGTGCTGGACTTCTTCTCGGAAGAGACCCCCTGCGGTTCGATTCCTGAAAACGACTACGTAACTCCTATAAGTGACCAGTCAGTCTTTGCACTTTGGGTGGTCGCTTACGGAAGGTTTGACTGTAAGCAGGAGTGCCGACCGGAATCAGTTTAGTGCATCAAGGGCTACTGCCGTTCATACCGTACCGGATAGTTTTTCTTAGCGCCACGAAAAGCTTAGCCTACGTGTAACAGCATCCTCCCCCCGACAAAGAAAAAACGGAGAGAGGGAGAGAGAGGACTTTTGTCGGGGGAGGGTGCGGCTACACGTAGGCTACGAAAACCTATTCGGTATAAAGTGAACATAGCGTTGATTGCCAAATGACAATTCTACATAAATTTGTTACGTTCCAGATCTTTATACCTATACCTGGCAAGAGAGGTTGTGGAAATTCTAGAGCAAAATCTGCCAGTATTATGACAAGCTCGACATTCGTCACTGCTTCCTCGTAGCTGATCTCTGGTTTGATATGAAACTTGGTCTTCAGAGGAATCACGGATTGTGCAAACATCACTTTCAAGAGAAGCTGTCCAGCAAAATAAACTCCAAGGTTTATAACACGTTCTATAAATGTCATGTTACACGAGAACCCAGTCAGCTGTTGAGGAACGTATGACACAGGGGTCGGAATCATATGAAAGGGAGCAAAAGCGACATTTGGCGGACCAGGGGCGATAACCACCCTTGGAATCTCGAGATGTTCACCTAGCAAAACAGCACAGAGAGCTGCTCCTTCATAAACTAGCAAGTCAAAGTCCTTCAGTTCTTGTAGCAGCTTAGTGTCATTCAAAAGGCATTCACACATAACTTTCTCTACTTGGGCCAAAGCCCACATCCCCTTTAGCTGATTTCCGTCAATTGCTGGTTTGACAAGCAGCTCTTCCGAAAAGTCGGGTTCATATGGAACTTTGTAAATAAAATGCGGGAGTTTTTCGTTGGAGCTGATCTTAACGTCGGAGGATACAATCAATGCCACCTGTGAAACAAAAGAGAACTCACTGTAAGAGCTCTGAAGTAGTCAATGTAGATGTAGAACTGCTCTCACTCCTAACATGGGTGTTGGCCTAAGGTGTCTCGATCAGATTTTTCAGCAACGATACCTTTGAAATTTAACCTCCAAGTACAAAGACGCATCCCAAGAGAATCGAGTGATAAAAAAAAAAAAAAATAACAAAAATAAAAAATAAATAAATAAATAAATAACAAATGACAAAAATTAACTTGAGGTGGCTCCAAAATATGAAGTGGAGCGGGAGGAGTATTTTTTTGTTTGTCTTTTTTCTTTGTTTTGATTTTTTTGCTTGTTTTATTTGTTGTTGTTGTTTTTTGTTTTTTTCTTTATGTTTCTGGAAATTTATTTCGGTTTCTTTAATAGGTGTTTGACCGATTGTTTATAGCCTGCGAACAAGCACTATGGCAAGCGAACCTTTCGCGTGCGGCTCTCGCCTGACTTCTCGCGCCTCACTCAAATGCCCCGTCGCCCCGCGCAGGCCTGGGACTGCAGAGAGGGAACGTGACCGGGAAACCGGGAACATAGGTCCAGCTCTCAAAAGCCACATTGTCAGAAGCTTAGGGTTATATGCTTCTCACACTGGTCATAGCCTGTTCCAGGCGTTCAGGTCTCGAGTTCGGATAGTATAACACAGTTTTCCCTGCCTATGATTTAACTAGCTCCACATCATCTGAACGCCGCGCTCTACTATCTGGACGCCTGGAATTAACAATAGCGTGTTCCATTTATAGTACTGTCGATTTTGATAAATAATAATAACAAATGACAAACAACACGTGCACAAAAGCGGGGAGATGCAGGGAAACGTGAGCTTGGAACGGGCTTTAGAATATTTTTCTGAAAAAAAAGGCCCCGGGAGTTTGCAAATGGTCGTAGAAATGAGATCAGGTCACGATGGTTCCAATGGAAGTTCACGATATTTCACGTGAAAATTTACCTCGTGTCCTCGAGAGGATAATTCTTCCATTGTTTTCCTGATGATAAAGTAATGAGATCCTGCTGCCATGCTGCTGAAACCCATGATTTTCGCACTCAAAACAGAGTCAAGACTGTAAAAAGACAAGAGTATGCAAAATATAAACGACGCCGCCATTTTATACTTGTGAATGATGAAGCTTCCCATGCATGTTAAAATGTCACGCAACTAATCACGCACGCATACCAAACGCCGCCTTTATAGAAAGCATTTGAGAGTGCATGGGAAACAAACTACAAAAATTCCTTTTTCAAATAGCCTAGTTGAACTGTAATGAGAGTCAGGTCACTCGATCATTCATAGAGGTTCTGAGGCTGCGAGACCTGTCACCTCACATGGCGGACGACAGATTTTCCAAACTTTGGTCAACTATCCAGACAGATAAAGTAGTAAATTAGTAAGTATGGAGCTCAGAAGTCAGTTGCTGGATAAACTCCTAAAACTGAAGCAGCCATTTGATTTCAATTTGATTTTTATTTTGGATGTCTATTGCAACGCAGCTGGGTTGTGCCCTCAAAGTCACGCGATATTGAACCTCGCTTGCAAACTAGTACATAGCCTGGTGACGAGCTGGCCACCTTTGCACAATTTTTGTTACCAAAAATGTCCGGGCTTTGTTGGTTAATCCTGCTTTTCCTCGCTGAATCTTCATCTTCAGCTAAGATTATAGGAGGCAGCGCAGTTGGAGGATCTCATTATATGATGATAAGAAACGTAGTAGAGGAGTTGGCCAGGCGAGGGCACGAGGTATAATCTGCTTATGCTCAATTAGCTTGACATAAAAGGTCTGAAAATGCCTCTCATAAAGAGGTCTAGGGCTTGGTGTTCTACACGTGGGTGGGCTAGCAATCCAGTAGGAAAACGATGAACATGTGGTAGTAGTTACTTAGCCAAAGGTGCTGACCTTTGCCACTATTTTTAATAGAAATACTATAGTGTCTCGACGAGCGGGCAGATTCGGAACGGTGGCTAGCCTGTCTCTCAAGGTCCCAATTGAATAGCTCGCACCCCTTGAGAGAAAGAAACAATGTCACTAGCCACAAAAACAATAGTAGCTCCTACTCCCAAGGGACCAATCTCATGGGGGTGGGGGATGGGGGCTACTCCCTTGTTATGTTCTGGCCAGGTGTTCTGGTTACCAAGTATGGACTCAATCGACCTGATTGGCTAATGAAATAATAGCTTTTTCAACATGCCATGGCATGGCATGTACTCAAATCCTAGTAGACAACTGAGGCTCCAAACAACTAGGATTTTGGCACTGACTTTTGCAGATAGACTTAGCCAGGCCATGATTATTTGAAAGGTGGATAACACAATCTCCTGGATAAGTCTCTCTCCAGTGGTTAGCGCAATTGGTTTTTCTAATACTCATCTGCTAAACAGTGATTTATCCAGCGGCTAGCACTAACCACCATTTGAACTACTAGGGTCAGAAGTTTAGTTCCATATTTGGTGCACTTCTAACCTGAGATCAGGCGTTTTTTTTTCTTTGCTTATTTGCTATTACAGAGATAAAGGGAGAGGGCATGATCGCAGGCTAGTGCACTTCCCACTTCCTGCTCCCATTTTGTTTCTCATAAACTAGATTATGTTGGCCCCCAAAAACCAGATGCTGTTTTTGTAATCAAGGAGGAAAATATTAGAAACCACTATGTACAAAAGATAATACATTCATTTTATACCTAGCCTTTTCCAAACAGTAATTTTGTTTCATTTATTGCTCTACAGGTCACCTTGGTTATTTCCTCTGCTCAGAAAGTGAAACCAAGCGAGAAATTCGCTCACAAGATTTTTCAAGTGCCTTTTAAGGAGGGAACAATTTTGGAGACATTTGCGAAAGAAATGATAGAAAATGGATCTCTGTCGTGGGACACTTTCAAGTCGTTAAGTGAAATTGATCGCATGTCTTGTGAATGTTTACTGAATGACACGGAGTTTGTTAACAGCCTCAAAGGGTTTGATTTATTAATTTATGATAACATTGCAAATTGTTACGTGTTGCTTGCTGAGTATTTAGGCTTGAAAAGAGTTGAAATTGCAGCATTATCTCCAAATGGTCCACCACTGGCGAAACATTTGGTACCTATGCCTGTTTCATACATCCCCATACCTTTTCCTGGAGAGCCCTGTACAGATGAAATGACATTTACGCAGCGAGTTTTAAACTTAATAATGTATGTCCTCGGTCAGTTTATGATGAGTCTACTTGTGTATAGCAATATGGATAGTACGAAGATGAAGTATAACATTACACCTGGGAAGAGCTTTCTGGAGGCTGCTGGCGAAGCAGAATTGCTGCTAATGACTTCAGATTTTGCTCTGGAATATCCACAGCCTTTATTGCCTGGTATGAAGTGATAAGAAACATATTTTTTACAGTTCCCTGGCTAACAACCTAAAAGAAAACTACTGAACTAAAATTATTCAGAGTGAGGGATGTGTATGAATGAGTTCCCCTGAGGGTGGAGGGTACTTACTATAATGGCCTATATCTGGGAGAGGCTCTGCCTGAAAGGGGTACCCTTTTTTCAGGCTTCAAGTATATGAAAGATTACAAGGGAAATCTGTCATTTTTGCCAAGGTCCAAAAGGGCTAACAGAGGCATTTAATGGCTATGGAAGAGTAAAGAAAACATTCTGGTTATGTGTGTATTCGTTTTTAAAAAAGACAAGTGCATTTATAGCAGTTAAGAGGGATGCAGAGTTCTAAACTAGGTATGTGAAAACGGTACCAATATTTTATTGTGAATAGAAGGTAACAAAAGGGGTACCTTCTCTGTCAAAAATGGTACATGTATATAAAAGGGTAAGGGGTTGGACCTCAGGCAGAGCCTCCCCGCAATAAAACTTAGTTGAATCCCCCCCCCAGGAAAAGAGCCCATCCAGTGAAGATTTTAGATATGATCCTGATCTGAAAACTTTTAATGAGTTCAGGACTTGAGACACTGAGGCATCTGCTTTTTTTAAAGTTTTTAAACTTGATTACTAATATTTTTACCATATGAAAGTAGAAATATTATATAATGCAATCCCTGATTTCAACTTGCAGGCAACATTATGGTAGGGCAACTAAATGTAAAAAATCCAAGGCCGCTTTCCCCTGAGCTGGAAGAATTTGTCAACAAGTCCATACATGGTTTTATTGCTGTTTCATTTGGAACTAACGTGGCATTCCTGTCAAAGAAAAAGGTCGATCTGTTGGCTGCTGCATTTGGAAAACTTCAACAGAATGTTGTGTGGAAACTGAAGGGTGAGATATCAAATGTGTATAAATGAAGGACACAGTGCCTAGAATAGAGGGATCGTCATACGTTTCTGGGAAACTGCCCACCTACCCCTCCCCTAACCCAACATTAACACTTACTTCTCACTTGGGGCAAAATGTTGGCTTAGGGGAGGGGTAGGTGAGCATTTTCCCAGAAACATAATGATCTGAATAAAGCCTCTGAGTGACATCTGAGTAACTGCTTGATTTTACCTCCAGTTTGCTGTGTATATGCGCTTGTGAATCATAGTGAGAATTTTATATTAGATCAAAAAAAAGTCCCGAATAAAATTATGTTGATAAACAAATTTGTTATTTGCTTAAAAAAAGTGTTTATATTATTTTAAAAGACCTGCCAACCCCTTGAACAGAGGATTGTTCTGACACAAAGAGCTTTTGTTTAATAACAATAGGGCAACCATTACAGGTCACAATTATTCAAAATCGCAAAATTTGGGAGATTCTTTAAAAAAAGATTGACTTGACTGAGTTATTTCCAGTGGAGGTTTTTATGCCTTTTTGCCAACCCCTGACAGAGGAAGATCTGGAGACTTAGGAAAAAAAAATCGGGAGATTCTACAAAAAGTAGTGAGATTCCATTTTTTTGCTGATCAAGATAAAACAAACTCTTTTTCTGTTAGGGGAATTAGCTGTGTATTTAAGAATTTCCTGTTTTTTCAAGCTGTATTTAATAATATATAATACATAATATAAGTTTGTCTTTTTTGTTTATAGGTTACATTCCCTCGTCTCTGAGCCCAAACATACGAGCACTAGAGTGGCTACCTCAGAATGATCTTCTGGGTCACAAAAACATTAAGGCATTTGTATCTCATGTGGGACACAATAGTCTTTACGAGTCTGCATATCATGGGGTTCCTGTGGTAGCATTTCCTTTGTTTGCAGACCAGTTTTTTAACGCGAAAAAAGTTGAACATTTTGGACTGGGAGTATCCGTGAATCACAATAATTTTGAGGTGGAAAACTTGGTTAGGGAAATAAAACATGTTATCAGTGAGCCAAGGTAAGGCAGCACTACAGCTATTTAAACCTTCCTTCCATTTTTCTCTTCCAACCTTCCGTTAACTTACCTATATGTATCTGATCATATGTAAATAATATAAACTAATGTTTGATCTATGCCTGACCCACCTTGATTAGTGTTCTTGCCACTTTGAGCATCAGCACTATCTTATATATTTATGTAAGGTAAATATAGGTTGTTGTTGTTGTTGTTTAACCGTAAAAAATGGCAAAGGTCAGATTATTTTATTGCTGAAGGCATTTGTGGCATTTGTGGCGGGTTTAGATTGGGAGTAAGTACAGTTGACTCCTCTTAACCCTTTAAGTGCCAATAGTGACCAACAACAATTTTCTCCTAATAATATCCATACATTGTCAGGAGATAAAGTTATGAGAATTAATAAAATGATCACCAAAGGAAAAATGCCATGATCTTTTATCAAATTCTCTCACGTAATTCTTAAAGGAAATGTATGGAGATCAGTTTGGAGAATTTGTATGTGGATAGTAGGACTTAAAGGGTTAACAGACTTCACTTAAAGATGGACACCTTGCTAAAGTGGACACCTAGAGTTGGTCCCTGCCTTTAATCATTACTCCTTTTGACACGGAAAAAGATGGACATCACTCTTAGACAGACACTTAGTGCGGATCCGAAAGGTGTTTGTCTTAGAGAGAGTTGACTATACTACCATTTATACAAGAAGAATGCTTGAGTATTTACTGGTCACCCAGTAAGCAGCAATGGTTGTCACCCTGGGGAGGCGGTATCCCTGGGAATTCTTGATGGGGGTGTGCCACCTGCGGTTCTCCAAATCCTGACCCTATTTCAGACCAAAAAATGACATCTTTTACGCTCATTTTCAGACCTGGCCTCTAAAATCCATACCCATTCTCAGACCTGGCTTTTAAGAAATTATGTCATCATTATCTAGATTAGAACAGCAACAAAAAATATTTTCTTAAAATCCATTTCGAATTCGCATATTTCTCTTTCTTTCTCACTCATTTGGAATTGAAACAATAAATTTAAAAAATACGTTTGTACACTCCCACAGTTCCCTTGAAAAACATACCCGATTCCAGACGAAAATGAGCAGTCTATACCCATTTTCAGACCAAAGCAGGGTGTGTGCCCAAAAACTCTTCCCTTTGGGGCGGCAAATACCTATATGGCTTACATATATATCACCACCAACACCATCAAGTTGAACATAGATATCAGTGCAAAATAATAGACTATAATAATAATAATAAAAGAAACGGTACACACTTATCCAAGATCGGAGCAAGAGGGACAAGGTAGAAATATGTAACAGTGAACACATAGAAGTGGCTCTAGATGAGGTCTGACATGAGCTCTTATTTGCAGGTTTAAAACTGAGGCTACACGAATATCTCGGCTCCTTAAAGATAGACCAAGGACACCATTAGAGACAGCTGGTGATTGGATAGAGTATGTGATCAGACATGGCGGAGCTACACATCTCAGAGCTCAAGTGTTTAACATCCCTTGGTATCAGTACTACCTACTTGATGTCATAGCGTTCCTTGTTGCCATAGTTACACTGGTTGTTTATGTAGTCTGTATGGCATGTCGCTTCCTATGCAGGCTGTGTTGTCAAAAGAGGGATAGCAAATCTAAAGTAGAATAGACAATTTTAAAATATGTTTATTAAACTCATGGTTTTATTTGTTGCCATGGTGAGAAAGTTCACTTATACACAGGAAATCTTAAGTAGTATGTATGTACCCAAGATTAGCAGGCGGCCAGTCGGTAGTTTAACTGTAGATTTCTTTTTTCCTTAAGCTGCCAATTGTTATCTTTCTTCACCAAGGTGGAGAATATGGTGAACAAAATAATTATTATAAATGAAAAGAATGAACTTACCAAATAAATCTTAATTTTTTAAATTTTAATCAAGAATTCCTTGTGTCTTTGTGCATTGGCTATTCATTTGTACCGTAATTTTCTTGCTTGGTAAATTTTGATTAATAATATTTCTTTTTATGCATTTTTATGGATGATTTACACTGGAGAAAAGCTATATATAATGTGCTTTTTTTTAGTTTTTTAGAGAAGCCTTGCTTTATTGTAATAATTTAAAGTTTCAGCTGTCCTAAGACAGTTTGTCAAAAAAGTCAACAGAAATATGAAGAACAGCGGTTGCAGGTGTCTGTTGTGTATGAAATATATTTGTGAGCCTTTTTTGATATATAACCATAGGAAACCCCCAGGGGGGGGGTACTCCCATACATTAGCTATACAGGTATGTGCCGCCCAACGGGGTCGTGATTTTGAAGCTCCTGATTTAGAACGGGGTATCCATTTCAGAGGCGTTTTCTAGAACGGGGTATAAAAAATTGTGGATTACGGCTTTATCTTCTGCTTAAAATTGTTGCCGATTATGAAGAAGTATTATTTGATGTATAAGTCGAACAAATAAAGAAATATCTTTTTTAAAAAACAGGGCTATTTCAATTTACAAACTTTCTAGGACGGAGTACAAAAAATTGGCCCATTTCTAGAACGGGGTATTAGTTTTAGGGCGAATTCTAGACCGGGGTATAAAAAATCGGCCCATTTCTAGAACGGGGTATCAATTTTAGGGAAAATTGTTTTTAGAACGGGGTGCCAATTTGGAGTCCCGGGCGGCACATACCCACCCAAAAAATACCCAAGTGCCCCCCCGGGAGGAAACCCCTTACTCTTATTTGTAAACTGCAATTGGAAATTAAATGAGAGATAAAAACTTACCTGTTCTGTTCTTGAATCTTCTGCGGGAGCAAAGTGAAATGGAAGTTGTTCAGTAGAATGCAAAAACAATGTTCGTTTAATTTCGCGTTCGCGCTTTCTCAACATTCCCAACTTTCAAATCAGCCTTGCCTTTTTCTGTCATCATATCCTACTGTTTTCATTAACCCAAATGAACTGTTATAATAAAACAGGAAAAAAGGCGACTTGAGCAAAGCAGTTCGCGATATTTCCCCGGCGCTTTTCCCATCTCTTCCCACCCCCGATGATGCAGCGCTGATGCGGCAGAATTATAATCGTTCCCAGGCTAGCTCTGCACCTCTTGATTGCTGAGCTTGCAGATGAGCTAGTTTGCGTGACGAAGGACAAGTCTGTTTTGACGAAGCAAAAATGTTGTGGCTTTCTTGGATTCTCTTGCTTTTCTTGGCTGAATCTTCATCTTCAGCCAAAATTTTAGGAGGCAGTGCAGTTGGAGGGTCTCATTACATGGTGATCAGAAACGTCATGGAAGAATTAGCGGCCCGGGGTCATGAGGTGCTAATAATTTTAACTCGAGCTTTAATTAAGCTTATGTAACTCACTCAGAAATTACACGTTTATCTAAAACTGTTTTTTGTCATGTGTTTTCCAAACATATTGCCATCATAAAGAGATATACAAGACTCGCAGTGATGAACTACCCCGAACTGTCCTCAGCTGCACGCTAGTAATTTTTCGGGGGCGCAGGCTAGACGCGTACTGTTCTTCGCAAATCCCACGCAGGGTGACTTCAATATTTCAATTGTTTATCTAAAAGCAAAAGGGAAACTGATCATAAAACGTTAACAAGAAAATAAATGAGAGCTTCCCACAAAAATATGGTAGGGATTTAATTATTTTCAGGTGTGACATCGACTAAAGGTCCTGCAACTCGAACCCCACGGGACGGACCATTGCATTAGAAAGGTTGTTGAGGGGAGGGGGGGAGGGGGGGGGAGGGGCGGGTGGTGCAAATTTTCCCTTCGTTATTGTTTCCCATGTATGATTATTTGTAGGCCAGTTAATGAATACAATAATTTTGGGTTACTTTGCAAGCATGAATTTTTTAAAAAATTATTTTCCTTTGTGTGAATATTTTTATGTACGAAGCCTGTACCCCTACAAGTTTTATAATGGTCCCTTCCTAAAGTCAATCTCATTGGGATGTGGGTAGGCCATCAATACCCATTGCTTAATCCTGTTCATTTAGGTGGTCAAATCTGTACAAGTGTCAACTAGATGTTTTAAGTTGATGGTTGTATTGGATCTAGAGAAAAGTCTCTGTAAAAACTGAGGCCTGCAGGACCAAGGCCACTTCTGTTTGATAGCTATACTCTCCTTTTTATAGATGAAGCAAGTTGACATTTATCCTCTTAGAAAAAGAGATCAAAAGTGTGGATACAGATTCCCCCCTAACTATAGGAATTTTCTTCTCATGGTCTTCAGAAATATTTCAAAGATCAATGGTGCTGACACACTCACCCCGTCAGAAATTACTCTCAAAGCCCCCCCTCAGAATAGACTTTTCGAGGCATTCAGAGAGTGGAGCATGGGCAAAATTGTGTGTGGATATGAAATGGAGAGGCTTTTAGGACCTAGGAGAGAATGCTCCCCCCCTCTTCCCATGCTACTAGGATTAACTTCAATTTTCCAACAAGGGTCCCTACAATTCCCCTTGGGGAAGGAGGACCATCAGCAGTGGATCTAGGGGGAAGGTGCAGGGGGTGCGCACCCCCCCCCCAAGATGACCTGCGGTTTTCTAATACAACTGGTATTCTGCCAAAAAAAAAAACTATGTGGTTTATTGGTGTTGAAGTAGAACAAGAGACGAGTGCACCCCCTCCTAAAAAAAATCCTGGATCCGCCCCTGACCATGGATTTCCCCCTGGGGACATGAGCATGATCAAGCCCCAGCTAGTTTCATAGGGAAAAAAAGAACTTCCTAGCTGTTCAAATTCCCTGCTGCTATTATCTTTAATTGAATAAATATAACTGGTAATTAATAAAACATTGGGAGAGCACTGGGGAGGAGTGGGAGGAGTAGGATCTAGTCTTTCAAAAATTCAACCAAAAATTATCACTAGTTTGTGAAAGGAAAACTATTGTAAAGCTTTTTTAACTGAGACATTTTCATGCCTACTAGGTGACGTTGGTGGCAGCCTCTGCTACAGAAATTAAACCCAGTGAAAGAATCTCACACAAGGTGTTCCAAGTGCCATATGCTACTGGAACAACAGCAGAGTCAGTTGCAAAAGTTATCATAGAAAAAGGCATGTCTTTTGAAGTCATGATGCAGATGGATGAAATGCGCAGGGTGGTATGCAACTCATTGCTCAATAGCACTGATTTTCTCGAGAGCCTGAGAGGTCATGATTTGATTATCCATGATGCTGGGGCATCCTGCTCTGTGTTGCTGGCAGAGTACTTGGACATTAAGAGGGTCGAGATTTTACCGGCACCTCCTAATGCTCCATTTGTTGTGTACCATAAAACACCTCTGCCATTGTCGTATATTCCTCAAATAATGCCTGGATATACTGATGAAATGACATTTTTGCAACGGGTTGTTAACATGGGGTCCTATGTTGCTACTAGAATATTAATGGAGATAATGTCAAAGACCATGAATGATCTGAAGGCCAAGTATAATATCAGACCTGAGATAAGCTTCCAAGAGGCCACTGGAGAGGCCGAGCTGGTGTTAATAACTGCAGATTTTGCATTGGAGTATCCACAACCACTGTTGCCAGGTAAGAGCTTAACAAAGCACATTTAATCCCAACAAAAGACAGTCAATTCCCTATGTTGTCAACAGCAGCCTCGAGACCATAAGTTACTGAGGAATCTCCTTTAATTTGTATGCATGTGCATTAGAGGGGTAATCAATGTGCTTTTACATTTTTTACAACAATATATTTCCATTCAGGTGCACCAGGAGAATCTTAGCATGTTTTAGTTTTAAGAATGGGGAGGAGTAGGGGAAATTTCTCCTTCCCTCTCTCCTGTGAATTTGATTTTTCTCAATCTTTTCAGCAAATAAACTTGCATTGGAAACTCTTATAGTATGCTTTAAAATTAAAAAAGGTTTGCTTTTAATTTCTTGAAAATTCAAGTAAAGGCTATTTAATAATCATTAATTCAGGTCCAAAGAAATTAACCACAAATTAGGCTTAGGAATCTTTCATTAATTAATGTACTGCATTGTAACTTGGGATCAAGCTAAATCATTCATGACTATCTGACGTATTCTTTGTAATGTAAATATTACTGGTAAGTTTTATCTCTTTTACAGGGAATATTATGGTGGGACAGCTTAACTTTAAAGAAGCTAAGCCTCTGTCCCCTGAGTTGGAAGAATTTGTCACTGGGTCAGATCATGGTTTCATCCTTGTTTCATTTGGGAGTAATGTGGCTTCCCTTGCAAAAGAAAAAGTGGACAAGTTGGCAGAAGCCTTTGGAAAACTAAAACAAAGAGTTGTTTGGAGGCTTAAAGGTTAGTGTAGTCATCTGCAAGCCTGTTGCTAGGGTGATGCAAGACGAGGCACTTGTCATGGACACTTTAGCACCAGTGTGCGACAAATGCAGACTGCAGACTTGCAGTCCGGCAGGTAAACGAGGTTAACATTGTTGTCGAATGCTCTAACAGATCCCTTATCCCTGAACTTTATCTCTTTTTAAAGTTTAGTTTAGGGATAGGGAATCTGTTAGAGCATTTCACAACGTTTACTTTCAGTTTACCTCATTTACCTGCCAGTCTGCAAGTTTGCAGTCTGCGTTTGTCGCACACCACTTTGCGACTCCTCCCTTGTGTTTAGAAGTAGTCGCAGAGCATGGGTATATACTGAGGCCCAACTGCTACCCTCTTTGGCCCCAAGACTGTTTAAAGAAATTAAGGTCCTGCTGCCCTGCAGCATGACATTTACATGATAGCAAGGGAAGATCCCTACCCTGTCCCCAAAATGTAATCACCAATTCTTTGACCAATTTCCCAGTGATTTCCTTAGTTATCCTGTTCCTTCTTACCTACATATATATAGCCCATAAGTAGCATTACCCCATCTCTCCCCCCCCCCCCCCATGTTAACCCCCCCACCGTGTTAACCCTGAGTACCTAATAGTCATTAACTCATTGACAAAGGTGTCTATTGACAAAAACGTTCGAGCCAGCTTTGCGCAATTATATTTTAATTCAGGGACATCTCAACCTAGTTAACCTGATCAGCCTGTCCCAATAAATGTCCATGAACTGTTTACTATCACTTTTGTTTGTTTTCTTCACACAAATTGTGCGTAAAAATGTGACTTGTATATTTTATTTGCAGGTTACATCCCTTCATCTCTCAGCTCAAACATCAAGGCAATGAAGTGGTTACCACAAAATGATCTTCTAGGCCACAAGAACATCAAAGCTTTTGTCTCCCATGTCGGCCACAACAGTCTGTATGAGACAGCATATCACGGGGTCCCTGTGGTGGCTTTTCCTTTGTTTGCAGACCAGTTTTTCAATGCAAGGAAGGTGGAATATTTTGGCCTGGGACTGCAAGTTGATCACAACAGTTTTGATTCTGAACAGTTGTTCAAGAAAATAAATAAAGTCATCACTGAACCAAGGTAAATATGTTGCTTAACATACTGGAAAACATTATTTTTGACACGTTTTTGTTTTTAATTGTTGCATATTCTGTGGTGGATGTGCCCACATTCAGAGTAGAGCTCACTTTTTCCAGTGGGAAATGTACCATAAAAGGTGTATGTATGTATGTATGTATGTAAATCTTTATTTAAACACGGGAAATCATCAGTTAAGCTTAAGTTAAAAACTAAAACTAATTACAACTGCTTTACATGATTGCCGTGTGGGAATCCGATATATCAGCTACCTTCTTGATATTTCGCTTAAAATGCTCAACGGATGCAGCGTTTTTTAAGTTTTTGGGCAAGTTATTCCATAACATGGCCCCGCTGTAAGAGAAGCTTCGTTTCAAATAATTGGTGCTTGGTTTTCCTGAGAGAAAAGACTTTGCAGATATTCTGGAGCAAGGTCATTCATGGTTTTATACATCATTACGGCTTTTTGTTTCTTTCGTCGAAGAGATAGCCTCTCCCAGCTGTATAATAGAAAACAAGTTAGACTGCACTACCATAGGCCAAGTATAACCCTGACTACAGAGAGGGTGGGTGTAGGGAGGAAGCTTGGTCCATGGGTACCCTGTGTCTGCACAGTTCATGGCAAAAAATACTTTTGATTTTTGATAATTGTTTGTTTTAACCTTAGTTTAAAACTGCTGGGTCAAGAGTTAGGAATGAGCTGAGATTAATTATTTCTTGGCAAATGTGCATGGTCTCAAACCTCTTAAAGAGAGTGGAGAATTCTGTGGCAGACCTCTTGGTCCAGGAAAGGGAAAGGGTGGTGAGTGCGCATCCTAGAGGTATTGCCTTTCCCGAATTTGTCGCTTAAGTAGCTGGTTAAACATGGGGCCAAAATAAAGTATATAAATAATTTTATCTACAACTGAGAACTTTAAAAACTTGTTTCAGGTTTAAAAATGAGGCTGTACGGATTTCTCATTTGTTGAAAGACAGGCCACGTACCCCCTTACAGACAACTGGTGACTGGATAGAGTATGTACTCAGACATGATGGAGCTCCTCATCTTAGGCCTCAAGTGTTTAACATCCCTTGGTACCAGTACTACCTACTTGATGTTATGGCTTTCCTTGTTACCATAGTTACATTGGTTGTCATGGTGATAAGGTTGACATGTAAATGCCTATGTCGTGTCTGTTGTAAGCGTGATAACAAATCTAAGATGGAGTGACAGTCTTGTTACGACATTTGATTTTAAGAAATGTTTTCAGTCCTTTGGACTGATAATAACATGCACAGGCAACGTCAATTTTATCTTGATGTGACACATTCACTGCAAAAATGATAACAAAATGGTCTCCAGCACACAGTAGCTTGCACTTTTTAAAAAATCAAACACTTGAATCCTGTTTATCAGCAGAAAAATGGGTTTATTGAGCATACCACTAACTTAATTTGCCTTGTAAAAAACATTGTAATGTCTTAATGTATTTTAAATAAAAATAGGAAACAACTTTAAATACATGTAACAGTAGAACACAATAATACAGTGTATATGCATTTTTCTTCTCTGCCCCATACCTCGCATATGAGTCCTATACACAGGATCGCTCCCGTCATACATGGTATCTTTGTTTCTCAGCCTGGTTAAGGTGCATATGAAGTAGTCTGAAAGTTTATGACTTTCTCAGTTCCAATATGTAGGTTTTACCAAACAGAACAATTTCATTCTGCAGCTATCAGTCCTGGAACGTTCAAATTTTGTGCTGGAAAGTGTCTCTACACTACTTGCAGCCAGCTCATAGCTGTGATGTAGTAAAAAATTTAATGTTGTTGTGGCTCTTAGTGGTCTACAGTTACAAGCACATGGTTTTGTTTCACACATGTTTTTGGTAATTTTGCACCTGAGGTATGGTTAACAACAATTTTTTGCACTTCATATGCACTTTAAGTATCTCACAATCCAAAAGCCACAAACTCAAATTCTGCCAAAGTCTCCAAAAAAATATTTCACAGGTCATAACTTCAGATTTTGAATTCACTCTCACTATTTTCCTCGTAGGTGTCATAAGACCTGAATATCAATGCAACAAAATGCCAACAATCAAACAATAAAACAATGTTATTTACAAATATGAGGTTTATGTCTATCTGTACCTAAAAAAATCTACTTTACTCCTAACTCACTAGCTGAAAAAAATCTTATCGGTCCAATCAAATAAAAAGAGCTAAAAATGCTGAAACTTGTACTTTGTCATCAAACAAAATTCACCGTGAAGACAGTTCCAATATTTTGCTCAATGTTTATCACTGCAACTATACACTTGACAAACTTTGCAAAATTCTGTTTTCATTTGGAATCTCTTTGATGACTTCTGTCATGGTTTGTCAACTTTTACACCAGTGGGTAGCTCGCAGAAGTTGCAATGCCGCACATGTTATTGTTGTTTCTGGCCATCATGATGTAACCTTTGTCTCCCCAAGATGCACCCCAGCTAGAAAGAAAGAAAAATCAAACTCCTTTATTTTTTCTGTTGTTTTAGTGTTGAGTTAAGGTACAACTTGAATCATCGAGAGCCCCAACATTTACAGTGTCATTCTTAATTTGCTGCTTTGACTACCCACAATATCAAGTGAGCTCAGCCATAACAGCTCCTTACTGGTTACAGCTCTTATTCACAGCTCACAGCTCTGGTAATACATTGTAACAAAAACAACATCAGCCTTTCAACAAAAAAAAAAAAACCAAAAAGTGCTAGGTTGTTGGTGCAAAGATGCAGCCAGACAAGTGGCCCTTACACAATCAATATTACTCGATAGTAATCGATATCAATCATTGATGAATATCGATTTCCAATGTCGATCGATGAAGAAAAAAGTAGTGACTTTGATTAATATCGATGATTTTCCGATAGAAATCAATGATGATTTTTTTATCGATTACTATCGATTCCTATCAATCTTTATTTATTTTGTTAAGCGATAATAATCAATAAATTATTTTTTCTGTGACACTCTGATTAGTGTCGATTTCCGATATTAATCAATAGTAATCGGCAGATTAAATCAATTATTATGGTTGATATTACTTGATTTCCGATATAGACTTTTATCGACTAACTATGTCTGGCTTATAAGTGTGCATGGCATTCATTCACGGTCGGGCTCTTTTGGGTAAACAGTATTATTATGGTACGGTAGTCCCTTATGCAAAATCCTAAAAGAATTTTACATCAAATAAATGGAGTGAAATGTGCAGAGAGAAGAACACAGAGAAAAATTCCGAGTTTTGAGATGGGAATTGAACACATGACTTTCCAAACACTAGTCAGATGCTCTAACCATTCAGCTACTGGGAACTATAGTGACAAGCAGGTAAATATTATTTTGGGCTGACAAAATGACTGCACTGTACAGTAAATTAATGTCAAATGAACTCGGGAATCAGTCACTTATATTTCTCTGAGTAATAAATTAATAATGATATAATACTGTAAACTTCTGATCATAATCGCCCCACTTCTACACCCCCCTCCCACCCCACCCCCATTTATAGGCCCATCTACCTGTAAGCAAAAAATATATCTGGTTATCCCTTTAAGTCCCAATAGTGACCAACAGCAATTTTCTCCTCATGATACCCATACATTATCATGAGATGAGGTTATGAGAATTAATTAAATGATCACCTAAGAGAAAATACTTTGATCTTTTATCAAATTCTCTCAACTCATTCTTTAAGGAAATGTATAGAGCTCAGTTTGGAGAATTTGTATGTGGATATTGGGGCTTAAAGGCCTCTTAAAACTCCTTATAAAGTTGTATAAGCCTAGGGCTTATAATCAGGAGTCTACAGTATGTGTGGAGATAGTAAGGAACTTGCCTGTTTTTGACAAGCCAGTAATCCTGACCATCATCGGTAGTACCATAACCCACAGCTAAGACACCATGATCCAGCAATGTACTGCTACATGCAGGCTCCTTGTAAACACCCTTCTTATAGAACTGAAAAGAGAGATGACCAGCATCGATAGCCACCGAGATGGGTCCCACTGTACCAACAGCGACTTTCAAAGCTTTTTCATCACCAGAGGTGATATTCACATAACCAGTGTCGTCGGCACCAACAGATGAAGCATTAAAGCGGCATTTCTCATCCTACAGGAGATTTCAATAAGACCAGATTGAGTACACTTCAGGATTATGAAGAAGTCCTAAGGAATGCACCTTTAATATTTATTTGTGTAGGTGTTAACGTGTAGATAGGATTCTAACAACCCCTCTCAGAACTGTCTGGAGAACTAGGGAAACTAAAAATGTGCAAATCCTTGCAATTATTGATAATTTGATTGGATTTTCATCACATCAGGTGAAGCCAAGAACACTGATACATTGCAATACAGTATAAAATGCAGATACATATGAGAAACAGTACAGGAAAAATAAATTTTGTCCTCTCACCTCAGCAACATAGGGATAACTTTTTTCAGTGTCAATTCCTTTGTTTGCTTTGATATACCTGAAGGCATTGGTCATCAAACCTCCCTCACATCCATAATTTCCAAACTTTTCAGAACAGTCAACCAAGTTTTGCTCACTAAGGGAGACTAGTTTTCCTGTTTTTTTGAAATGCTGGCCTTCCAGTGATCCAGTCTGCCAGATGAAAATACCAACAATTTATTAGCACTTGTTTACTGTAATATGGAGAGCAATACATGTAATACAGTTCATTCCTTCTACGACAGAAAGCTTCGGGACCAGTATCAAGTACATGTACATCTGCCGAAGAGTGACATCCATCTTAAAATCAAATAAAGGGAGTCAAGAAAGGCAGGGACCAACTCTAGGTGTCTGACTTAGTTACCAAGGTGACCATTAAGATAGAGCTGACTATACAGTATCTACAGTCGTAACCAATCACCAAGAAAACAAATATACACAGTACAGTGTAATGTCAAGATCTTAGGCCCCTTAAAAAAGGTATAATTCACAATCTCAAGTAAGGTTAGTTCCTTGAATGTTTTTGCTCCAAAACTCCATCTCTAGTGAAAACCAGCCTTAAAATGGAAGGGGTGCAGTGTAATCAGAGGCCAGGCAGACAGTTTCTGCTCAAGATACACAGCAAGTACATGTATGATGAATAACAAAGGACTTAAAAAAACTGTTGATTTCTTACTGTACTGAAAGCCCAACATGATCCACACTGTCCTTGGTTTTTCACAGGCGTAACATAACCTTTCTTTCTCCAATCCACAGTTTTGGGAAGTTCAATGTTGTTGGGAGGTAGGAAGGAAGATGCTTCTGAGTTTTGATTTTTAGTGCTCTTGTATTGTCTGTTGTAGCCATTTAAAATCAAATGAACTTCTTTACTAGTCTGTAAGTAAATAAACAAAAGTCATTACACAAACTGACTAACCCTTTCACCTCACCGCATAAC